TCTTTACAGTGAAGATTCACACAATGAAAAAAAAGTGTATCAACATTTATAATGTCAATTTACTTCCCCATTTTTGTAATTTTTAATGTCCTGTTTAACTCAAGAGTTACTACAAATCTGTTTCAAACAAAATATACAACAAAAAAATTGTGACTCTGGAACCATTATTTATTTATTTATCCATTTATTTATTTACCTATTATTTATTTATTTTTTTTTTTTTGGGGGGGGGGGGGTATTTTCTTTGATTGCTAAAGGTTTACAGGTTCCTCGGAACATAATTTTGAGGACAAATGACTCATTATGTAATATGTAGCTACTGGCCGGTTGGTTAGGAGCTAGTACAAATGAAAATTAAATCTCTATGAGACATACTGATTTCACACTAATTCAAACATAAAGAAATATAAAACTGACATGACCTCTGCCCTGGCCAATAAAATCTGACACCAGACAGTAAGACAGTCAGGGAAAAGTTTCTGGTGTACTTGACTAGCTGTCATATAAAGCTTATTTTTCTTAATTATCTACAACACAAAATCTTAAATAAAAATAATTTCTAGTATCACATATTTTAACAACAATCAATGCCTTCCAGCATCACAATTTAAAAAAATAAATGCTGTGCCAACATATATAATGTATTATATAATTATTCAATACATACATGTACATGTATATCAACCAATTTGAGAAGTACGTGCAAAGGCACCTAAGCATTTAAATTCAATTTCCTTCTGATTTCATACCCTTTAAGGTTCATTTAATAGGATGTACCAGGTAAAGTATTCTTAAATACAGTCAAACCTTGTTATCTCAAATTGATGGGACCGAGAAAAAGATTCAAGATACCTGATGGTTCGAGATATCGAAGGTAAAATACTTAGAGAATAAGTGGATGGGACTTCCAAATCACTCCGACATATCCATGGACATGGTATTCGAGATGTCAGTGTTTGAAATACTGAAGTTCAACTGTAGCTGTTTCTCTTGAAATTAACTAGATCATATAAATGAAATTCAGACAATAACTGCTATAGTCAAAATTTGATCATGGAAAAAATATGAAGATGGAAATACATCATACTTAACGAACTGAATTGCATTAATGAATTTTTGCAACAGAAAAAAAAAAACTGTTGTTCAAGTTTCTCATTCTAATTTCATTATTATGTATTAAGACAAGGAAAATTTGATCATATATTTAGGATAAGCCTGAGAATCCCTAAATATCACAAACGTCTGTGGAGAATCGGTGTCATCCACCACTGAATCATAGCACTGAAGTATGGATCCACCACTCTTGTTCTCTGGAGGGACAATGAGACTGGGCGACCCTTTTGTGAAGGTACCCGTCAAAACCCGACAGAGGTACACTATCCTCTGTCTTCCCTTAGTCTGTAGGTCTGTCTCCTCTAGACTGTGGACCAGAGACACATCAAAATATACACCCTGTCCAAGGCTCTTAGCTGTATCAAGAAGAAATAAATGAACTGTTGATATCAAATTTGTTTATCTGTCCTGGATTTCAGGTTAAAAACCAATGATTTCTTTGAGTTTAAATAGTACATGTAACAGGAATATTGCACTATTTTCCCATATTATTCCAGATCAAATTAAAATTTTATATTTCTAACCGGAGACATGAATCATAAGAAACACTATAATTAATACATTATAACTAAACATCATTTGTTTAATTAAAAGGGATATTTATTTCTAACATTTAAAGAACATTTCTTTATAAATTATAAACTGTTAACTTTGTTACTGCAAATGCTTGCCTAAAAATTAAGTAATTTAGTATACAACAAACACTTGTCTTACATTTTCTGTTACATATGTTCCTGTTGAATCCTTCAGAGTTAATGATAAATGTAGCATCTATGTCTACTGTGTGCCATAGTTCTCTCTCGACTGGGGCCGAACTAGCCTGGGGCTGATTCTCCATGGACTCTTTCCTAGCTACATACTGCCGGAACAGAGTTTGGTTCTGTACCCTCTCAACCTGTTTATAACAAAACTCATATTAAAACATCTGTAATGATTGTATCCCTGCCTAGAATTATCTATACACTCATTTTTTCTCTGACTGATATATCAGTAACCAAGAAATAACAGTATTTCATTATTGAAAATGTAATAAATATATATATATGAGTCTGGTTACTGGATGTGACCTATTTTTATTTTAATGTGAATTCAATATGAATCTTGCAGTTAAACTAATTTACTATAGATATCATTGAGATAGTGCTCATCTCAAAGGAATTCACAAAATTTCCCATCTTGCCAATGTTCATTAAATTAGAAATAAGAAACTAAATTCAAGATAATTACAAACATTTTAAAAAAGGAAACTCTGTATATTCCATATGAATGATAATAGCCAAAGGGGATAAACAGACAAAATACAAGAAATTTAAACAATTATTTGAAATTTTTTACTCTGATATTTGAGTTAGAACTTGTTCCAAGGTCACTACACTATTTACCAAGGACAATATTATGCCCTGTTCACACGGAGAGTTTAATTCGAATTAAACGTAAGTTACTGCGAATTAAATTTGAACCGCGTTCACACGGGGAATTTAATGCGAATTAGTTTAATTCGAATTAATTTACTGCGCATTAAATTACTTCACATTAATAGCTCCGTGTGAACGCTAAGCGAAGCTAATTCGAATTAAATTTCGACACATGCGTAATGGCACAATTAAGTCACATGCCACATGTCGGTGGTCAGATATAGGTAATTATGCTATTTTTTAGTGGAAAACAAAGAAAAATTATGTTAATCACTGAAATGTGTATAGACACTATGACAGAACGTCATATGGGTCTGCTCCGCATAAGGTGACGTGGTTTGAAAATGACGTCATAATAGCCTTACTGAATAGCCTTACTGTAGAAATAAAATTTTAATTCGCATTAGTTTACTTCGCATTAGCTGCCGTGTGAATGCAATTTAGTTCGTATTATTTTAGTTCGCATTATTTTACTTCGCATTAATTTACTGCGAATTAAACTCTCCGTGTGAACAGGGCATTAATTTTGTTGCCTGTTTATTCGTTTACCATGATTACCTGTTTATACTTGCCACTACACTGGGTCAGTTAATGATGATCTATTCTGTGACTCAGTCTTGAGTGTACTCGGAATACCTTGATTACCAATGTTTATACTTACCACTACACTGGGCCAGTTAATGTTGATCTTGTCCTGTGACTCAGACTTGAGTTTACTCAGAATACCTTGATTACCTATGTTTATACTTACCACTACACTGGGCCAGTTAATGTTGATCTTGTCCTGGGACTCAGACTTGAGTTTACTCAGAATACCTTGATTACCTATATGTATACTTACCACTACACTGGGCCAGTTAATGTTGATCTTGTCCTGGGACTCAGACTTGAGTTTACTCAGAACATTAATGTATTCCTGTTTGTTTTTACTCAGAGGAATCGTAATCAGATTATCCTCCTCACTCATTGGGGACCAATTGGAAGGTAAAGCTGTAGTCATTTTTCCTATAAAAATGACACAAAATAATAAATATTTATCTCATACAACATGTACAAGGATACATATTTCATTTAAATATTCATTTAACAGATTATTTTGAGTATTTCTTATTACTAAATCATTTAAGGACCCTCTATACACCAATGAAAATTGTTTTTTAGACTCTGAGAATATTAAATCATATAATGATATAAATTTGGAGTTTATTTATTTAATTTTCAACATAGGGTACCTGCCATTTATCCCCAGGAAAAATATTCAAAGACAATGAATTGTTGGTAAACTGAAGTCACTGTTTCTTACTTGAATGGCAAAAATACACGCAAATAAGGCCTTCAATTAATTTAACTAGACAAAATGAAATGCTTACAATGTTGGAATTCATTACAAATTGGATAATAAATTTAGATTTCAATTTATTTCATTTTACATCTAAGGGCAGATCACTCTAACTGCATAAAAATACCATGAAATTGGAACTCTTTAGTGTGCGGTGTATAGAGGGTTCTTAAATTTATCATTTTCAAAACTTTCTAAGCTTTTACATTTTAAAAACAGCTCACAAGGTCTATGGGCCTTTAACTGTCACCTGATTGTCAATAGTATATTTTATACTCTCTAAAACGTAAACCACCTTAAAATTCTCTATCCATGTTAATATTTTCCAAATGATGCTATATATATGTACATGTACCATAGTTACAATTGTTTGTACACTTCCAGAGAGAAACATTAAATATGCTCAAAACTTTATGGAGACAGAGCTGATCTAAAAATACCTTCTGTTTTGGAAATGCGATCAAGTTTACAAGTTCTATAGCAATCATAAAGTGTCATCTTGGAAAAATCAGCAGTCAATTGTTCATCCCCCATCGAAAAATGGATTCTCCTCTCCTGCTGTCTAAAGTATTCTTCCAGCTTCATGTTGAGTTGCGGTGTGCACTCCACTTCCTGTCCGTCATCGTAAACCATCCTCCACTTAACCACGGCCTGGAAGTAATCCCGTTCACGCTCCTCCTTCTGCTGTGTGCTGTGTTTCCGTAGCAACTTTTGAATGGCCTCTTCCATTTCATAAACATCTTCTTTGAGCCCATGTAATTTGATCCGACCCACACGCAGCTTGCCAAAGTCAAGATGAACCCCAAGTTCCTTTGCTTTATTATACAGTTTTGTTTTCTGTCAAAGAGAATAAGATAAATAAGATATAGTAGTTTCTCTCTCTATATATATGACATTTTTAGCAAACTTGTTAATTTGGAACAGATCAGTGTACACATACAAGTACTTCTAATACACTTGTCTGTTCCATTACCTGCTTTTCTTTCAGATCTTTCAGCATGGGGTCATTGTTATCCTTACGTACATAATCATCCTTATCAGCTTTGTCCAGAAAATTCTGGTAGGCCGACTGCAGTTGGTCAATGTTGTGCCCATAAAAGGTCAGCTCCACCGAGCTTTCTGTTGGTTCCCGTTTGTCCAGGGAATTCCCAAAAGTGTATTCCATCTCAAAAGATGTTTTTTCTAAATCATTAAGACCAACAGATTGTTGAAAAGAAATTTATTGGATGAAAACATTAAAAGTGAGTCAGTTGTTGTAAAAGAAAATTGAAAATTTTGTAAAATAAATCAATCATGAATATCAAAACATATTTTCCACTTTGCACTAAACATAATACCTGCAGGCTGTTTGAGCCTTTTCCATGCACGCCCTGAACTTTCACCCTCCACAACATTCTTAAAGGTATTTTTCAGAGCAGCTGTAAATGCCTCAACAACCAGAGTTTTGATGTCACAGAGGTGAACTTCCTGTATAACGGAGTCCTGATGCTCCAGGAAGTAGTCCCTTATGGTTTCCACAATAACCTGTGTGGCCTTCTCCCTGGGATAGTTAAACACCCCAGTACTGATGGCAGGAATAGCTACTGAACTGTAAATAAAACCCATGAAAGTTTTTTTATGAAATATCTTCAGTTGGAATACATGCACTGTATATCACTCTCTGTGTATACTGCAAGTGAAAATCAATGCAAGTTTTAAACCCAGCTTCATTTGATATTTTCAAATATCAGTAGTGTATAAATATATCAAATACTGGACAAATTTGGTCTTTACTATACCCTGCCCTTTGAAAAAAGTCAAGAGGTGCTTGCTGTTTAGAATATATATGATATAAATGAGTGAATAACTCAGCTTTCAGCATATTCTTTTAACAAAAAATTAGATCTGATTTGGTGAATCAGATTTTGTAAAATAAAATACAGTCAAACCTCGTTATCTCAAACTCAAAGGGACCAAGAAAATACTTTCAAGATAACCCAGTATTTGAGATATCCAGGGTAAAATACTTAATAAGGAATAAGCAGTTGGGACTTCAAAATACTTCGCCATATCCATGGTATACGAGATATCCATGTTCGAGATACCAAAGTTCAACTGTAAGTCATTCACATTTTGAAAGAAAGAAACCTTTTTCATTAAAACCATGCACTAAGTTTGTCTACTAAATATGCAGAGCAGAGAAGAAGATTTTTAACAAATTAATACATTCTCACTATATGATCGAAGACCCCACCCTAACAACAGAATCCCAGATCCTGGGGCCATTTATTTCACAATTTTGGCAGAGGGCTAAATGCTTATTATAATAATGGCAACAGTTTGACTGCTTGATGTCTAAAAATAAAGAAGAGGATTTTTGAGAATTGCATTAATTTTGACGGTTTGCCCCCAAAGTTCAGGCCCCTTGAAATTCACAATTTTTGTTCCCCTTTGCCCAAAGATGCTATATACCAAAATTGGATGAAATTGGTCCAGTAGGAAAATGGACGACAGGTAATGACAGACAAAAACAGATTGCAACACCTAGGTCACCTTAGTGACTCAGGTGAGCTAGAAAGGATACTTACTGAAACTGATTGCCAGGTTTGTCACACTCCTCCAGAGAGCTAAGTATAACCTCTCGGAGAAGCTCTGCCTCCTGGTGGGACCCATCCTGCCAGACTGGACCGACAGCGTGGATAACGGCCCCACATTTCAATGACCCTGAGGCTGTACAGCAGAAAATCTCCCCATAACTCAGGGGTCCCTTCTCTTGGATGAAATCATGACAGACTTTGCGCATCTTATCTCCACCTGTAAAAATGAGAAATAATTTTGTAAAACATACATGTATCATCTTTGTGTTAAAGTCATATATGGTAAATTGCCACTGAAAGTTCTTCTCACTAGTATATTGTACCTGAAAAAAGTTTTCTCAATAACAACAATGTTTCTTTAATAAAATATTTTGATCTGCACTGTTATTTTTCACTCTTCCATTAAAACATCAATTCAAATATTGAGGATGCCACTCCCAAGATTCAATGCTCCAGTAATTAATCTAATTTACATAAAGCACAACATATTCAAATATCTATTTCAATCATATGACAAACCTTTTTGCCCTATAACTAGGGCTAGACCTCCCTCTAACTTCAGTCGATTGTCAGCAGCATTCACTATAACATCCACATCCATGTCAGTCAGATCATGTTTGACAACTACTACTTTTCTCCCATAATTCATCTCACAAGATGCCATCTGAAGTCAGAGTAGAAGTTATTTTCAAAGGCAACAAAAATTCTGTATGATAACGTTGTGTTTAATATCTACACATAAAATTGGAAAAAAGTGAAGCTGTACTTCTTAAGAAAATTCAAATACATGTGAAAACAAGATGCCCATGGGCCACAACACACACCTGAGTCATAATGGCCCCTGCTGTTCTTCAGCAGCAGATTTTTTCCCCTATGTACATGTATCTATCCCTATGTTAAATTTTGATTGCCTATTGTGACCCTGGGAGTCATGATTTGAAAAAAAAACTTCAATCTACACTACCTGAGGATGCTTCATATAATATGACTAATCATGCCTTTGCTGTTCTGGAGATTTTTCCTACATATTCCTATGAAAAACTTTGATCATCCATTGTGGTCCCACCCTACCCCCAGGGGGTCATGATTTGAACATACTTGAGTCTACACTACCAGATGATTCTTCTATATCAATATGACTAATCATGTTATTCTTAAGAAGATTTTTAAAGATTTTTTTTTTCTATATATTGCAATGTAAAACTTTGATCACCTATTGTGACCCAGGCTAACTTTAAAATATTGTTTGTTTGCCCTCTCCCGACTCAGGATTTTGGGTCGGTACGTAGGTATGAAATTTTTTTTCATAGAAAAATTCATATGAATGCTGAATTTTTAAAATCTGTTTTCCAGAATGCATAAAAAAAACAATTGTTTCATGGAGGTTAAAAAAAAAATTGAGTCGGGCCACTTAAAGCCAGTCAGCCGGGAGAGGGCAACTAAACAATTTTTTTAACAAGAGGCCCAAGGTCCTTAACGGTCACCTGAGTATAATACAACAATTTAGAAGTTAAATACACTGACAGATGAAGCTTTGTTGCCCTAAAGCAAGAGAAGTAGGAAGATCAGGATCAACAAAATAATTAGTCTAGTATTCAGTATAAACTCATAACTTAAGTTCTAATCTGTCCCCCACTTAATATTATCCCCATGCAGACTATTAACAAACTATTAGCGCTTCTGTACTATTTTTAAACCCATATTAAGACCTCTAGCATAGACCTCTCTTATGGTCTTTGAAGAATTTTTAATAAGATAAGTTATTTTTGTCTCATTTTTATTTATCTATTACTTACAGGTCTGCCTGATTATTAAAACTAAGAAAGTACTTTTTGAATTATACGATAAACATTCTTGCATAATTATCTTATTCTATTAATCTTTCAAATACATTATTTACAGTGATTAATTATCAAAGGTGAATGGAAAAGGGGAATAACTTCTCTCAGTAGAATACAAATTAATAGAGCCCTGTCCAGGACCAGAATGCTTAGACAAATTGTCCAGATGTTCAAAAATCTGGTAGAAATATGCTTACTTATATCATTTAAACTTTTACTCAGTTTGCTTTCGATATGCCCAGAAGCAGAGAAGAATTTCACAGGTACAATGCATTTTCACTACAGATTCAACAAAGCCTTACCCTAACACCAGAACCCAAGACCAAAGGTCAAGAAATTTACAAATTTGGAAGAGTTACCCTCATCATCATAACTATGGACTTCAAAGAATTAACACTTTTCCACTATATTATCAAAAGCCCCCCCCCCCCCTTCCTCGTTATGCCAGAACCCCTGACCCTAGGACCACAAGATTTAAAAATTCTGTTCGAAGCTCCCATCTTCATCATAGCTAAGCAATTTATTTATCGGCTCAACACTAAGGAGCAGACAGGATTAGTTAATGATTAATTAATAGAATTAATGCATTTTCACTATATAATCAATAGAGCCCCCCTCCCCCCCCCCTCCTCAAGAACCCCCAAAACTGAGGCCATGTATTTAAAAATTTTGGAAGAGGCATCCTTGCCTATCATAATCATGCACTTAGTTTGTTTAAATAATCTCCAGTAGCAAAGAAGAAGATTTTCATAGAATCAATGCATTTTCACTATATAATCAATAGAGCCCCGCCCTAACACCGGAACCCCTGACCCTGGGGCCATGAAATTCACAATTTTTAAAAAGGCATCCTTATGCATCATAACCATGCACTTAGTTTGTTTAAATAATCTCCAGTAGCAGAGAAGAAGATTTTCAAAGAATCAATGCATTTTCACTATATAATCAATAGAGCCCCACCCTAACACCAGAACCCCTGACCCTGGGGCCATGAAATTCACAATTTTTTAAAAGGCATCCTTATGCATCATAACCATGCACTTGGTTTGTTTAAATAATACCCAGGAGCAGAGAAGAAGATTTTCAAAGAATCAATGCATTTTCACTATATAATCAATAGAGCCCCACCCTAACACCAGAACCCCTGACCCTGGGGCCATGAAATTCACAATTCTGGAAGGGGCCCACCTCCTCATCATAACTATGTACTTAGTTTATCACCTTAATGCCCAGGAGCAGAGGAGAAGATTTTCAAAGAATTAATGCATTTTCACTATATAGTCCATAGAGCCCCGCCCTAACACCAGAACCCCTGACCCTGGGGCCATGAAATTCACAATGTGGGAAGAGGCTCTCTTGCTCATCATAACTATGTACTTAGTTACTTAATTTAATACCCAGGAGCAGAGAAGATTTACAAAGAATTAATGCATTTTCACTAGATAGTTGATAGAGCCCAGCCCTAACACCAGAACCCCCGACCCTGGGGCCATGAAATTCACAATTTTGAAAGAGGCACTCTTGCTCATCATAACTATATACTTAGTTACCTTATTTAACACCCAGGAGCAGAGAAGAAGATTTTCAAAGAATTAATGCATTTTCACTATATAATCAATGGAGCCCCGCCCTAACACCAGAACCCCTGACCCTGGGGCCATGAATTTCACAATTTTGGAAGAGGCACTCTTGCTCATCATAACTATGTACTTAGTTACCTTATTTAATACCCAGGAGCAGAGAAGAAGATTTTCAAAGAAATAATGCACTTTCACTATATGATCTATATAGCCCCATCCTGGGGCCAGAACCCCTGACCCTGGGGCCATGAATTTCACAATTTTTGAAAAGGCACTCTTGCTCATCATAACTATGTACTTAGTTAGTTTATTTAATACCCAGGAGCAGAGAAGAAGATTTTCAAAAAATAAATGCATTTTCACTATATAATCTATAGAGCCCCGCCCTAACACCAGAACCCCTGACCCTGGGGCCATGAATTTCACAATTTTGGAAGAGGCACTCTTGCTCTTCATAACTATGTACTTAATTACCTTATTTAATACCCAGGAGCAGAGAAGAAGATTTTCAAAGAAATAATGCACTTTCACTATATGATCTATATAGCCCCACCCTGGGGCCAGAACCCCTGACCCTGGGGCCATGAATTTCACAATTTTGGTAGAGGGCTCAATGCTTATTACAATGATGCCAACAGTTTGAGTGCTTGATGTCCAGGAGTAAAGAAGAAGATTTTTAAAGATTGCATTATTTTTGGTGGTTTTAGCCCCACCCCTCAGGCCCCAGGGGGGCAGGGACCATGAAATTCACAATTTTTGTTCCCCTTCACCTATAGATGCTATATGCCAAATTTGGTTGAAATTGGTTAAGCGGTTTCAGAGAAGAAGCTAAAAATGTTCAAATGTTAACGCACGACGCACGCCGACAGACGAGAACGGATAGCAATAGGTCACCTGAGTGACTCAGGTGACCTAAAAATGGCCCCACCCTTCATCTGGGGGTAATGAGTTGAACAAACTTGGATCTCTACTTCATGCTTTCATATAAGTTTCAACTCTTCTGGTCCAGTGGTTCTTGAGAAAATGAATTTTCACTACTTCTTAATTATCTCCCCTTGAAAGAAGGTGTTGCCCTTTATTTGAACAAACTTGAATCCCCTTCACCTAAGGATACTTTGTGGCAAGTTTGGTTGAAATTGCCCCCATGGTTCTTGGGAAGAAATCAAAAATGTGAAAAATTTACAGACGGACGGACAGTTGGATGCCAGACTAAATGTGATCAGAAAAGCTCACTTGAACTTTCAGCTCAGGTGAGCTGAAAAGACAACCCTCCCAATAATGAATACATTTTTAATATGCATAAAAAATTGTTTACATGTGTAATTATATACCTGATACATGTCATTTTCCCGTGAATTTTGTGTCTGGATTGGCATGTTGAAGACCTCCTCTGTGTCAGCTGTGATGACACACTGGAACTCCTGCTCTATATAATCTGCCTTGGACGTGGAACTCTCTGACTTTAGATACTTCACTACACTAGGACGCTTCATAGTTTCAGTTATTCTCACAATTTTCTGAATCATGTTCATGACCTCTCTCTCCACCTCAGACAGTCCAGCTTCAACAGCTGTAACACACACAGCCGATGGGATACAGTAAATCTGCACATGATAATTTTCTTTGAATCTTGACTCTATATTTTCAAGGTCATCTAGGCAGAACATCTTGATATACCTTGACATGGCTGAAGGAATTCTCAAGGCTTCTCCAACCATGATATTCTCATTGAGAAATTTATCTATCAACTCGAGCACAATTTTCTCCACTTCCGACACAACTAAGGTCCTAATTACCAGGTTTTCAGCATCAGGAATGACCTTGACTAAACCACTATAGTCTGACTGAATTTTTTCCACTTCAGATTTAAATTTACTGGACCGAAGAAGAGGTTTGTCAAAACTTGTCACTTTACGTGGTGTCTCAATGATGAAGCTTTTGATGAATTGGGCTGTGTTCACAGCTTTTTCATCGGTCTCAGCATTAACTTCAATGTATCGATCTTTTCTGATCTCATAAAATCCCTTCAAACCTTTCTCTTTCATTTTCTCTGCTAAATAGCCAAAAATTTTGGGGGATTCCAAAAACTCCAGCCTGTGTTTAGAGAAAGGCCCAACTGGAACTCTACTTCTTCCATGTAAAAGCTCTAACATAGCACATTTGGCCCTGTAAACATCAGTTGGAAAACCTACAAATTCAACTTTTAATTTGTCTTCAGTAATATTTACTTGACAGCGTGGAAAATCCTTGAGGCATTTCTCAATGAATCCTACCTCTTTCAAGACTTTTATGCTCAGAGGTTTTGATATACTGAACACTTCTGTTATTTCATTTTTGATTTTCTCCAATTTTTCATTGGCTTTCTTGATAAAACTCCTTAGTTTTTCCATTACAATGGAAACATCTTCTTTCCATCCTATAACCCTAACCTCCAAAGAATCAAAGTTTGGAACAATAATAACAGATCCCTCAGCCTCTTTTTCAAATTCTTCTTTCTTCTGCTCTACCTCTGCCCAAACTTCCTTTAAAGGATTTAAAGTTTCCACCACTATGCTATGGAAAAATTCTTCCATCTTTTTGGTGACTTTTTTCATCCATTTCCTGGACTTTTGTCTACATTCTGGAACATCATAAGCAAGAGTGCAATGTAGGGAAATATTTTTAAATTTTCCCTCAGTTTGAATATCTGCTGTGGCATACAGTGGCTCTAACTGTGATTTTAATTTATTTTTTGCCTGAGGAGAAGATGCAAGATAGGATAATTTATTCATGTCCCTTGGGTCAAATGCGAAGTCATGGGGAGTATCAAATGTCATTTCCAGTTGTGAGTTGCGAGATACTCCCAAACATTCGTAGTACAAGGACACCTCCAGTTCCTGTCCATCAACACTATGGTAACGACTACAAACATCCCCAGCAACTGTAAACAAAGAAGAAAATGTCTGAAAACCAAAAAGTACAATGGTAAAATGAAGGTTCATCATCCCTAATTTCACACATAAGAAAATTTTGCTTTTTAATACACTATTTACTATCCAAAAAATATCATATTTATAATTAAAATGCATACACTTTCAGCATACCTTGCTGGGCAAAGTTTGACAAGAATGTTCTTTTAACTTGACAATTTTATAAACTAAGGAATAATAGTCATATATGTCTGTGAGAGTTATCTCTCTTATCAGAGGGTGGATGAACCTTAAGAAGGTTGTCCTCAACAAAAACAACAAACGATGATTTTGCATTTCACATCTGTATTACCTGTGGCATTAGAGAACCACACAAGAAAGGAGTCCTCCCCTTGCTTTTGAATTTTCCTGATTTTTCCTCCATTTACGCGATACTGGAAGTGCATGCCTAGACAATCTTCTGTCGTCGTGTCAAGGACGTTCCTTACAAGGACACTGCCATTGACCTTGACATTCTCCACAGTTAGATTATTTCCATCAAGAGTTTTAGTTCTGCACATCTCTTGAAGTTTCTTGATATCTGTGAATATTAAGGTAAGACAAAAAAGAAATTACAAACAGTGCATACTGACAACCAAAATTTCTTCCATTCACAGCTATTGTCTTTTGTAATCATTTAAACATTTAAATGATGAGCTCTTTTGAGAATTATTTTCTTTCAATGTCTTATAGTTTTTGTATATTTTTTAAAGTAATAAACTTTTATTCTGCTCCTTTATCAAGGAACTCACAAAGACTAGTAGCACATGATTATAAAGTCAACTTTAATACATATGTACAACAACCTTTTTCAGCTCACATTACTTTTTATAACTTATAATAATTCATATTACCGGTACTTCATATATTTTCAATGCATAGTATCTAATCTCAATATCTAATTTTTTGTATCCAAATGAAAGTACTGATTTCTAAAATTAATAATACAAGGGTTTTGAAACTGAAATGTGTTATATGTACTTTATTGTCAAAATGTATAATTTTGACTTGACAGCCAGAAACAGCTACAAAGAGGAAAAAAAACCCTATCTTCAGTTGGTTATTAAGTAATTAAAGGTAAATTTTAAATGAAAAGTGTTCCACACAATTTAAAATTAAATTTTACACTGATCACCTCTCTGGTAATATGTATAACCAATTTAATTTATATACACATTTCAGCATAAGAGCTAAGCAGCGAGACTTTGTATACACACATATATCTGATGCAAAGGTAACTACAGCCTTAGATTCATCTTCCCCCCTTACTGTGTCACATACTCTGGCATTAGCACGATTCGACAGATAGTTCTCCAGACCATCTTGTGTTGTCTTGGGATCAATACCTATGATTAAACACAACATTTAATATACATGTACATCACCATTTTTATAAAATCTGGGCAATCATTTTTACAGATAAAATAACAACAGTGTCAGAGTAATACATTGCAAATGGCCCGGTACTGCCTTTTAATATTTTTTAGAATTGGTATAGGAAGAATGTAAAATAGTGCAAATATAATCAACATGTACATTTGCAGATTCAATAGAAAAAAAGGTTGAAATTGTTCTCGGATAAGCATTATGTTTGAAGAGGAATATTTCCTGTAAAGAAATACCTTAGCAACAAGAGATGTTTGTGAAATGCTTATGCCCCCCCCCCCCCCCCCCAAAAAAAAAATTGGAATTTTTCTAAGTCCAAGGGGCATAACTCTGTCAAAAATTGCTTGATTCTACCCAAAACAGACCTTGACCTAAATATTCTTATGGTAAATCTGCATGTATATCAAATTTCATTTCAGTACATGTATGTGCGACCTCTGCAAAGAAAATGAATGGAAACTGCAAATAATTGGAATTTTTCAAAGTCCAAGGGGCATAACTCTGTCAAAAATTGATCGATCATACCCAAAACAAAACTTGACCTAGATATTCTTATGATAAATCTGTAAACCAGTATACCAAATTTCATTTCAGTATGTGCAACCTCTGCGAAGAAAATGAACGGAAACTGCAAATAATTGGAATATTTCTAAGTCCAAGGGGCATAACTCTGTCGAAAATTGCTTGATTGTACCCTATACACAACTTGATCTAGATATTCTTATGATAAATCTGTATACCAAATTTCATTTCAGTAAGTGCAACCTCTGCAAAGAAAATGAACGGAAACTGTTGGTGGAACAACAGACAGACCGACAGATCCACTGACAGACAGCAGCAAAGCAATATGCCCTCCCTTCTTCGAAGGGGGGCATACATATCATAAATACTAGAATTATTTCGTGCTTTAAGATGACACTAGTATGAATCATGAAACTTTTGGGGGTTTACACAAACTTTAATTTGGGGGGGGGGGGGTACGCAAACTTTAATTTTTGGGGGTTTGCACAAACTTCAATTTTTGGGGATTTACACAGATTCATTTTGCAGGAGAAGGAGTCTGATATGCCACTGGAAGATTTTAACTAAGGAAAGACAACTTGATGTTCTTCATTTGTAGGTCACTGACTGGGGACATCACTGTGATAGAACATTGACATTTTTGTCTATGGGAAATCATTTTGTGGACTGTACCCATATTGCCTTATCTAAATACATACATGTATATCTTCTCTTCTCTGTTCATATACAAAGGTTTTAATCAGTTTTGGCATATATAAAAATAAACTTGCATCTTTTACCTGGATTTATCTATTACAAATACATGTATTTAAATAAGTACAATGCACATGCATGTACATTACTTTCTTTTTAGATAACAGTACATGGCCAGGTAATTTAATTCTTAATTGAAGACTTGATGGAAATTTAAATGAAAACATGTCGGTACACATTTATCGTTAATACATAAAATATTTTTAAAATTTCTGACCTGTAACAAAGACTTTATTTTTATAAAATTTGGGCTCAACATCCCTCTGGTCACACATCTTGACCTCCAACTTGACCCCATCCAAAATGTGGTCCTTCTTTTTTAGTACATTCTTTGCCACTGTAAAACCAGAACATTTATTTTACAGTTGATTCCGTACTAGATATATGCACTTCTAGATATCAACACTTTATTATCAGTTACATTTTCACATTCACATGTTTTTGTATTTTCTGTAATTTTGTAATTTTATTAAGTATTTACCAGCTCTTAGCAATGGTGCTTTGAACTAAACAGGGTTCATAAATAAAATCAAAATGGTGGTCATTTTATGTTTAACTGACCATTTCTGTCCCTCAGCTTGACGTATGCCACACTTTTATCAGCCTCCACCCTGACTGGCAGACAAACACTCTCTGCCCTCCCACCACTCTTCTCATTCTCAAAGTAATCTTCCAGGGTTTCCTCCCTTGTTTCTGGTTTGAACCCACTGACCTCTAAGGTCACTGTCAGGCTCTGTTCTGCTTCACTGGTTGGTTGAGGTTCAGCGAGTCCACTTAGACTGAGTCTGCTGTCATCCATTGGGACATAAGGCTCCACTTTGATGTAGTGTGTTTTGAAAAGCAGTGGTTCACTCTGCAGCAGTCTTGTCACAGCTGACAGTAAGCAGAACAGTGACACTGTCATTTTTGTGGTAAATTATTTATTATTTACGATCGTCTATTAAATGTCATTTTTGTGGTAAGTCATTTATTGTTTACGATCGTCTATTAAAATATAAAAGTGAATATTGAAGACCTGCAGGACATGATTTTAAAGTTGTACAGTCTTACAATGAGCTTTTCAGATGTATTAATTTTTGAAAAAGAGACTGGCCTGTTTGAAGTACATGTAACAAGTGTATTAAAATGTATTTTGAGAAGTTGCATGGATTAATTTGAAGCTGAACACGATGATATCTATCTTCTGTATGTTTTACTTACTTCCAGGGTCCTGGAAGCTGACAATTGCCTCCCCTGACTGGCTGGTCAAGGTCACATCCTTAACTGGTCCCCCTCCATGTTCTCTCCTCCTCTCAAAATATTCTCTTAGTTCCTCATCAACAGCATCTGGGGGCAGATTGCTGACCTTTATTGAGTGGGTGTAGCCTTCCTGTTCTGAAGGAGAATCAATATAAATTCTATCACATCCTGCAAAAATCTAACACATCTACATATTGTATTCATTCCAAAAGACACCAAGGGTACTTAGACATTAAAAATGTGAGTGCTTGTATGATCTAACATTGCATATTGAACTTATTGATATCTGGTAAAAATGTACATTGAAAGAAGATAACAGAGTTACCCCTCTAATAAGGGTGTGAAAAAAGAAATTATGTATTAATAAAATTGTGAGAAAATCATCTATTTTAAGAATGCAGAATATAATTGTAAACAAATTGTAGTAAAGTGTGTTGAAACCAGGGCTCCAACCCTGGCACCAAACTGTAATACACTGTATGTTGAGAAAAAAAATCTAACACTGTAATTGCAATGTAGGGGGTGAATTACAATTAAACACAAACAAAAATTTACTCCCAGGGAAGATTTCAAACATAGAAAAAAAAATTTAAGAGGCCACAATTTAATGCTCACCTGAGTCACTATGGCACTGCTGTTCTTCAGCAGAAATTTAACAAAATATTCTTACATGCAGTAAAACTTTCATTTCCTATTGTGGCTCCATCCTTCCTCAGGGGGCCAAACAACTTGAATCTACATTTATGACTTCAGAATGCTTGCATACTAATATGACTAATCATGGCTTTGCTGTTCTTGAGAAGATTTTTAAAAATTTTCTCCTCTATATTATCATGTAAAATTTTGATCGCTTTTTGTGGCCCCACCCTACCCTTGGGGGTCATAATTGGAACAAACATGAATTTACACTGCCTATAAAGATGCTTTCATATTAATATGACTATAATCATGACTTTTCTTGATAAGATTTTAAGGATTTTTTCCTATATATTCACATGTAAAACTTTGATTGCCTATTGTGGCCCCACCCTAACTCCCAGGATCATGAATGAAATGAGAAGTTTTTTAAAGATTTTTTCCCTAAATATGCCTATGTAAAACATTGATCACCTACTGTGTCCCCACCCTACCCCCTGGGACCATGATTTGTTTTTTTTTCTTTAATTTATTTGCAGATCATATTTTGTGGTTTTGGCAAAAAACAATTTTGTTCATATGTAAAATCTTTTCCTATTCTATTATTAGTAAAATTAACTCCATAGTTTATTGATGACCTATCTTCATTGTCTAGCTATCTGGCTCAACTTTAAATACAATGAATACTGGTATACATGTACATGTATTTGTCAATTCAATAGGTCACAGGAATGGACTAATATTTGTCAGATTGAATATGACTTGGGTAGCTGAGTACAAGGGTATGCAATCTTATTTGGAGAATATGAGGTATTTCTGCTTTGCATAACATTTCACCCCATTTGCCAGATCATGTGACAGAGTCTGCATTTACAGCAATGAAAAATTGGTATGAATTTTTTAGTTCTTATTTGTTTGTTTATAATTTTTTTTTTTTTGGGGGGGGGGGGGGGGGGGATCAACATACTTTCTTGCAGTTCTTCATCATGTATGTTGTTCCTTCTGGGTTAGCATACTGTGAAATCATTAATTTTTATTTTTATGTGGAGGGGGGAGGGTTAATTTTTCTTATTTTCTAGGTATGAAAAGACTCACAAATTTATGTCCTCAACAAAGTACATAATGTATTAAAATTCAAATATATAACAACTCAACAATTCTTCAACCATGAAATCCCCACAAACCAATATATTATTGTTAAACCATGAAAATTTGACCCCACGAAAATAAGTAATTTTACAGTATCTTGTAGATTGTAATCTAAAAAGTTTCAAATATCTAATTTTCAATCAAACTATCATGGATAGGATACTCACCCATATCACTTCCTTTCTCAATGCTCATTTGAGACGCATACAACACAGTTGTCTCCTCCTTAGTTTGCTCTTCTGTGTCAGATCCCACCACAAATGCCACCTATAAAAACAAAGTTACTTCTTTCTGTGGGATTGACTTCAGCATGAATATTCTGAAAAAACTGACTGCATAATTACACGTTACATAACCCCTACCCGGGCTGTCTGGGTTCCTGGACTCTTCGTTGGGGTTGATGAGAGGAATGAAAGATCTCGTGTTCCAGGAACAATTGGAGAATTTGGAGGTTTCCTTGCCATGGAGCTCTGGAATAGTTTTCTTCTCTCTGTCAGAAAAATGATTTTCTTTTTATTTTCAGAGACACTAAGAAATGTTTGGTCTCAATCAATATTTTGATCATTTCTAAGACTGCCAATTCAACTTTTAGAAATATGTAGAAATGTTTTTCAATATATGCAGAGAATATGGAGACAAACAGCATAAATACTCCACTATATCCACTGCTGGGCAGAATCAATTACTATATACATGTAGAACATGTATGTAATAGTATATGTTTAAATCAGTTTAAGTCAACACTGAATGCATTAAACTTAACCTTTCCTGTCTCCAGTAATGCTTATTGTGGTGAATCTTTATGTAAATTTACCCTTCTCTGCCTCCAGTAATGCTGGTTGTGCTGAATCTTTATGTAAACTTACCCTTCTCTGCCTCCAGTAATGCTTGTTGTGTTGAATCTAACTGTCTCTCCAGGTCTTTCATTCTCCTAAGTATGTTACGAATTTCACTGGCGTGGTAACCACCTGTATGGATCATAAAAATAGCATCGAAGCTCAATAAATCTATGAAATGTATGGACCATAACTTTGATATAATAAATAAGATGAAAATTTTGGGCACAGGTCCATTCCCAAAAACATGCAAGCCCTTCCTGGACCAAACTTTGCATGGATGATGCATCTGGGAACAGGAACTATCAGATATGCTTTGAATGCTGCATCTGACCTACATTTTCCAGATGAGTGACCAGGTTATAGTTTTTGGAGCAGGTCCATTCCCACTTATAAGCCCTTCCTGCACTAAACTTGCATGGATGATGCATCTAGGGATGGACACTACCAGGCCTGCATCTGATGATTGATGAGACCTATATTTTTGGATGAATGATGCCAGGATAAGGTTTTTGGAGCAAGGCCATTCCCAAGTACCTATAAGCCCTATCTGGTCCAAACTTGCAATGATAATGCATCTTGGGATGCATACTACTTTACATGCTTCAGATGCTAGATCTGACCCAAATTTTCCAGATAGCGATCATGTTAAAGTTTTTGTAGCAGGTACAAAAACTTTGTTCCATACCTGGGAATATGAGATAAAAGAAAAATGAGACAACAAAACAGATAGAATAAATTACCATAGCAAGGGATCTCAATCTCAACAGTCTCTTTGATGATAATTTTATCCACATCTACAGCTCTAAGTAAAACCAGCTCATGTTTGTCAGCACAGGGCAGCAGATCAACATAGGAGGCTAGCACCATTAGTGTCACCACCAAGCTGTTAGAGGGCTCAATTCCTGCCACAAATACATGCTCGGCCAAACACCCCATCAACTGTGCCACGGTCCGACGGACATGCTCCAGCTGCAGTCGCTGAAATGTGTCCAGACCCCCTGCCACATGGAACTTGATGAATTGATATCCATTCTCTATCAAAATTTACAAAAAGTGCATTTTCCTTCATGAAAAGGATGATCTTGTCATGCTTAACTGGTGCTACAACTGTCTAGAATGAATGATAATTAGTGTTGTAAAATTTTCATTTTCAGTCTTTGCATTTTTGGGAAGAAAAGTGTCTGCGTTGAATTTTCTTTTAGAAAATTAGTTTGTCAATATCACCTTAAAATTTGTCTTAACTTTTAACTTTAATACCCAAATTTACCCATTTTTTTTATATCTTAAAAAGACCTACACCCCCTCCCCTCCCCCCCAAAAAAACAAACAAAACAAATCAGAGTACTGAAAGTACTGGGAAGCGCTAAGCAATGTTTTAAATTCATGAGAATTATTTTGAATTTAAATTGCCTGTTGTATTGGAAGAAGTATTATGTTGACAGTGTAACCGCGCTGGGGCGAGCACAGTTCTTCGATACATATTCACTTAATTTAAAATAAAATTTATATCCGCCTTTTCAAACCAGACGGGGAAACATTTGAAGGTTCGAGATTCTCCGTTTCTATAAAAAAAAAAAACAATATATAAAAATTAAATAACAGATATTTAGTCCAAACAGTAATGTATTTCTCAAACCTAATAAAAAAAAAGAAAGAAACGATAAAAAAGAACATGTAAAAATATTTTCGTTCTCCATCGCCTTATAGGAGTCTATAAGAGGTAGGTTTGCGTATAAATCGCAATTCATTGGAGGTGGGGGTGGGTGGTCGACGAGTTTTCCAACCAAATTTAGACTATAAATGTAGCTATACATTTGCTGGAAAATGTATATTTTTAAATAATTTTGAACACTTGAAAATGTTGCTGATATTCCTCTCATTAATGTGCAACACTGATAGCTAAAATGTTCTGGTGATAATTTTTAATAATTCATTCCATGTTCACGAGTGTCTCAAATTGAAGATGGCTGTTTGTGATTGTGAATTAATTTTAGAAAGTGCTCCAAAAAGATAAAAATGTTATTTTTTATTGCGTCGATAAAATATTTCCTTATTGATAACATATTTTATTAAAGTTATAAATTAAAGATGTAAAAACTATCGAATACTAGTATTCTCACTTAATTGTTTTTTAGTATATCTTTTTTTTTTTCATATTCATGAGCGATTTTTAAATTTAAGAATCTATACAAAGGATTTTACAAGAAATACATTAATGGAGTGTGTAAGATATTTACACAATCACTACGAGCGTCCGGTATTTATAAATGATAAATAAAACTTAGACTATATATTTCATTTTGTTTTGAATATGCTACAGCTGTGCATTATACATTTTTTACACTTCACATTCATCGCGCAGTGCAGCATTACATGTACATGATTTATAATGTATTTGCATCAAAAAATTAGTCTTTTCTGTTGATCTACAATATATGTATCTGATTTGTAAATTTTACTTTTTTTAAAATAAAATTTTTTATACTTTTCTTCTTAGGAATAAAAATATGCCATTAAAACCCCAAAAGTAATTTTTGGACTCTTGTTGAAATACTTAAATGCTTCAGTATTTTTTTTTTTTACGGATATTTGATACTTTACACCAATCTTTACTTGTTTATGTATGAAATTAACTACCACGCAAAACATGTTGAGAGGGAAAAAATATCCACAGCACTGGTGTGTTAAAAAGGAATACTAGTACTGAAAATAATTGACCCGTAATTTTTCTGCTAATTCCATGATAAATAATTCAACAGCCCAAGAAAGAAAGACATTATATTAATCTCAAGTATGAATAAATCTTTATCATGTTTATGAAGGTATGCAACATTGTTTTATTCTGTTTTTACTTAGTCCTAATTAAGTCGCTTAGCAGACAAATCAGCAACACATGCACACCTTTACCTAAACTATTTCTTCCTAGGTTCCTAACACAAGTATGCTTAACATTTCATCATCACTATTCCTGTCCATTGCTAAGAACGTTTAATTAAGGTTTTAGCATTTTCCACCAGATCTTGCGCACTGCACACACAATTTTAAAGCACAATATTTGTCATCAATATTTCCGAGAAATTAGTTTTCCTATCTAAGTGGATTCGTTGAAAACACAGCCTGCACGTTCCCTACGTGTACGTACAGCCACAAACTGCCTTTCTTTTAAGGTTTGGACGATATATCGAGATATCGATAATATCGATTCGGTGTGAGGACGATACGCATATCGATACATATGAAAAAATATCGAAATATCGCAAATAAAATTCTGACTTATGTTTTTCTTTGTTTACTTAACATTTTGGGTTTAATATATAAAATAAATATGCTAAATATAAATATGAAATACAGTGGCGCCTCGTTTATCCGGACGCCTCTGTCCCCAACGAAATCGTCCGGATAAATGAATCGTCCGGATAATTGAATCACATCTCAAAAAGCACTCTCTAAGCATGTACACTGTATATATGCACATTCTTGTTTCAAATGTAACAGCAAAGAAAAAAAAATTTAAATTATATTTTGGTTTATTGTTTTAAAAGCAGTAATTGATTAAAGAAAAAAATATATTTAAATGTAATTTACCCAATAAAAAAATGGATGGGTAATTTTATGCTGAGACCTCCTATTTTAATTTGCCTTCTCTTTGGCCTGTGACTTCATTGGCTGAGCAAATTTTGATCTACAGTTGTTTTATTTAGCCATATATTATAATTATTGAAGCTCATATGATATGACAGAAGTGTTCAGCATCGTCATTAAAAATGTTCAAATATATTAACCCCGTATATTTCCCGTATATTCATTACACAGGGTTACTATAAAATCAACTGCAAGCTTACTCAAACAAAGTATTAAGGACATTCGTAAACACAAGCCATCTTCGAGATTATCAATATTTTTTTCTACAGATGCTAAGTTTGAATATCGATTATTAAAAATACCTTGATAAACGTAATCAACTTCTGCACGTAACGCCAGTTTTATATATCTTTTCTAAAGTACTGTAATGGACGTTTGTAAACGGTAGTACATTAAATAGAGATATTTCTTCAATTATGTACATGTACATAAAAGATAACACAACTTGTGTATAATAATTTTGTTTTAAATTAGATATACAACTTCTTTGAAAAAATTATTCTTATTTGTGAGGAAATGTTTTGTTCATTTTAATACCAAAAAAGATTTTATAACCAATTCAACATATCGTGATACATATCGTATCGTGGCTCAAATATCATGATACGTATCGATATAGAAAAAGTTGTATCATCTCAGCCCTACTTTCTTTACGAATTATTTACATCATATTTTTTTACCCATATTACAAGTATAGAATTCAACACAAGTAAAGACAGTTCATGAATGCATTCCAGTCTGTTACTAATTGACACTGAAATGCGAAAATCAACTTCATTGATAGCTCTCTGCATGGTGCAAGGGTGATAATAGGAAGACTTGTTTTTAGTTACATTGTCTGAAATAAGGGTCTAGAAGAAGAAATATAAATTAATATGGATATAAATTATATATAACGTACATATGTAGGTACATTGTAAATCAATTTTATGCGAAATTTTCTAATAAATAACTTAATTCCAGTTTGAGTTTTAAATACTTATTAAAATCCCATCTGAGTTTTAAAAGTATGTACTTATTCAATCACCACATTATATGTACATGACATATAATTAACCGTTTTAAAGGTATCTGCGCCATAGATGTAGCAATTGTTAGCTACCTGGTACACAAGTGGTATGTGCCGACACGATTTTAAATGAACTACAATGTATAGAGATAAGAACCGCCCCTATCTACTAACAGTGGATTTTCGTACAATGTACATGCATACTCTTTACCTTACTAATTGACTCCTATTATCAGAACTGCACATAACGCAGTATTACACCAAAAAAGCCGAAAGAGCGTCGGGGATTTCCAGTTGCATATTTTTAGAAAACCCAGTGGAGTTATCTAACTTGCTTAGTGGCGATGGATCGCGAACGGAAGTAGATTTAAGATGACAAAGCGCTTTGCACTGCGCTTAGCGCTTAAAAATTACAATACAATCAAAGAAGGTAATGTTTTGAAATAATATATCTCAGCTTAAAGATAAAGACAAGTAAAACAAATAATTAGCCCTTACATTATTAATGACTTTCAATTCCTAACTTCCAGATTAACTCTACGATTAAAATATCCAAATAATTTCTCCAGTAAATACTCTGTTCTCTCTTCACAATAAATTCAAAAGTTTACCTGGTGTCTCCTTTGGACAGTAGAAATGAAGAATTTTTTCTGAAGACTTGGCAAATTCTACACATTTCCTATGTAGGTCACGGCGACCTATATTCCACAGACAAGCTTGCAAGAAGATTAAGTTCTCCCTGTTCAGATAAAGTCTCTCCTTCAGTACTGTAAAGTAATCCACAGCTGATTCAATGCTGGCCGAGGTTCGCCTCTGGAGTCCTCCATCACCTACAGGTAGTTTGTTGAAGATAAATAACAAAGAAATTAACTGTAAATATAAGAAATTTTCTATTAACAATTGTGATTTGCTATGAGAGAGGTGACAAGACAATCAGAAAATGTTGGGATGTTCAAAATTTCACTGAAATATGCTTACATTGGTATGACATAATATCAAACTAAATTTGTCATGATTGTAAGTAAACACAATGCATCATATAAAGCCAGGTTTAAAATATTTCAGAACTTTTTTAAATAGGATTTTGGTATCACAAGTTTTTTTTTTTTTAGTCATCTGCTTTTGTATTCAGGATGACAGCTACATGTGCATTCTAAATTTCCAAATTTCAAACAAACCATGGAGTAGAGCTTTTAGCTTGCGAAGATCCTCTTCTGTGACCTCATCGGCCAGTTTCTGTAGGAAGTTGTTGAGCTCATAGTCTTGGGGAATCGGCATACAAATGGACTGCCACCCAAGGGAGGGGGAATGTCCCAGGTCAACGATCTGACCTGCCACTGTCAATAATTTCAAATTTGTAAATAAGCAGATACAGTGTTCATACTTGTACATGTATTATATCAATTAACTGCAGTAACAATTGCAGTGAAAAAAAAAACAATTTTATGAATTTAAACATGATAATTTATATAATTAAAATGTGTTTATTGTTATGGAGACTAGATACTCTGTGCATATCATTTGGATGGAAATATATACATCCATTTGTAATATTGTATGTTGTGAGGGTAACAGAAAACATGGAAAATGAGTGGAAGACTAAAATGTGCATGGTTCTTTTTAGAGCGCAAACAATACATAAATAAACTCAATTTTGTAATATCAATAAATTCTTACTTTTACCACTAGGCCTACTGCAAATTATGTTCATTCCATAAAGATTGTTACTGTTACTTAGTGCCCTACATCTCGAAGATCCCCGAAAATAAAACGAAAGTAGAGATTTTGCGACATTGAAAGGACTTCAAGAAAATTTCTTAAATACTTTAAAGTATCAATAAAATGCTAAATAAACTTTAGATTAATGTTTTTATGTCTTAACGTGCATTTTTTTTATGTTTCGACATTTACCACAGTTTACGACAGTAACCTGCCAAAAATGAATATCGTTTCCGGTGTATGAGAAACACACTGGAGTCTGGAGACGGGAGAGATAGGAGAAAGAAATTAATTGCATGTCAAAACGCAACAAAAACTATTCAAAATGAATATCAGATGCGCAAGGGTAGGAATTCATTTAATCAAAACTTATTTCTTATTGAAAATAGTTATATGTAATACTAATTAGGAAAGGAGAATATGAGACAGACAAGTAAAGGTATTCCAACCCAGGCATAAGCCCTTGAATACGCCAACCTAGGCTTCTCCCCGGCAGGTCACCTGTCACGTCCAGGGCATGGCAGCACCAAATGTTACAGGAATATGCGATGGACAAACCAGGATTTGTACCTGGGTCCCCTGAATCACTAGTCAGGTGCTCTACCAACTGAGCCATCTGGCAACTGGTGATTGAACCTGCCTGACTGCCATAGTTACTTGGTACCCCCTGCATCTAATATATAGAAAACCACTAAATATTTTCACCATTGCCAAATTAACATGAGCAAATCTTATATGCTATTTTGCCTACTGCAGTCAAATATGCTGATGCCTTGGCGTCGACTCAACACAATTGGCCTTCTTTCACAAACTAATTTCCAAAAGCATTTGTGCCCTGTTTATGCACTGATCTAAAGTTGGCAGTTACCAGTGGCTGTTAATGAGGCTGCAACAGTGGTAAACCTAGTATCCCTGTCTTTCAAATGCTTGTGATCAAGCATTCACCTAGTACCCATATCCTTCACACTTCTGGTTTCCACAAATTTATGGTTCAATCTTGCAATAGTCATGTAATATCTATTGAATTATGTATTCACATGAAGGCATTTATATATTTGTTAATCTAGTCACAGTATTTTTTATCCAGAAGAAACAATTTTTAGATTGTATTATTTTTATTTACTATCCTCTCCAAAGGAAAAGACTGATATGATACTGAATGCCATTTAACAAGCTCTTCTATGGTCAAACACTACTTTTTCTGAATTTTTTTAGGTGAATACAAACAAGTTTCACTGAAAATGAACACCAAATTAATCTTAAATAATTTTGGACTTGTGGATGCCTTTTACCCCAAATATAATCCTTCATATGTTTGACATTGTGACCACTGGGGCAAATGCATTTGTATTTATTTTTGAATACCATCAAATACTTTGAATTATTTAGACTTTAAAAAAATCCTTATGAAGAAAGTAGTAACTAAGAGTGTGTATTTTGATGAGATTTGGGAAAACCATAGGGCATAAACCAGTTCTGTCCCAAAACTCTTTATATCATAATTAATTGAAGGAAACAAAGAGTTTGGAGTCAAAGCAGGCTTTTCCCCTGAAGGCAAAAGGAAGCATAATTACTTCTTCCTGAAATACTGTGAAGGATTCATTTTTATGAGATTGTGTATTTTAGCCTGAAGACTTGATGAATATGCAGCATTGTAACCTGTTATGTCTGCCTGAAAACTATCAGATGAAATACTACTTTTACCATGGTCTGTCATGGCCTCAGGTATAGTTTACCAGTACATGTAAATTCATATATGTACATGTATTACCATACATTTTGATTGAATATTGATAAATCAGTTTACTAATACAGTCAAACCTCATTATCTCAAACTTGAAGGAACCGAGAAAATACTTCGAGATAACTGAGGATTCGAGATATCCAGGGCAAAATACTTAAGTAATATGCAGTTGAGACTTCAAAATCACTTTGACATATCCATGGTATTCGAGATACATGTATTCTTGTTCGAGATACCGAAGTTCAACTGTACTTAGATTTATTGCATACATGTCAACCAGAGTTGGTAATCAGGGCTTAATTGACCCTTTTTGGTACAGGGTCCTGTACCCTTTCATTGGGAATTTTAAATCGAGAAAGTGGCAAAATTGGAAATATTGGTGCCTTATAACAAGTTTTACTGTTGAATTAGGAGTTCGATTGAAGGCTTATTCCCTATTCACATATTTATGAATCATTAAAATCTCAAAATTCAAATTTTTAATGATGTAAAAACTGCTGAAAAATTCAATCTGCTTATCATTTAGGAATACTTACTTAATTTTGGGGAAAAAAGAGTAAATTTTTAACTGGGACAGGATCCTTCTACCGGGCCTGGATACAGGCATTATTAAGCCATGTAGTAATACATGTACATTTAAGTCATATGTATATATTATCTCTGCTTATGTGCATACATATTAATTTAAAGTCAAATACATGCAAAGTGAGTCAAAACTCAATATCTCAAACACAGTGGGAATGAGAAAAAACTTTGAGATATCCAAAGGTTTGAGGCATTGAGGTTAAAATACAGTAAGAAAATAGTGTTTGGGACTTTCAAATTACTTTGACATATCCATGGTATTCTAGATATCAGAGTTTAAGATATTTGGGTTCAAAGTTAGAGATACCGAGGTTCAGCTGTGTAGTAGTATTATGACAGTCATAATAAATGATTAAACAGGATTGAACAAAATTTATCAAAAATATAAATTGAAGCAATTCTATCGTTATTTTACATTTCAGCTGTCATATGTTGCAGAGGATGAAGATGGAAAAATAGTAGGATATGTTTTAGCAAAAATGTAAGTGAGCATTGTAACCCATTGGCTTCTCATTTTTGTTACTGTTTAAAAGTTTTATTTCTTGGCTAATGTATGTGTTACTAACTTACTATTGTGGATATGTGTTGTTGTTTAATGTTACTGTTATTGTTATGCGTTACCTTTATTGTTAAGTGTAACATTTATTGTTACTTTGATACTAATGTTGTTATTTTAGTGTAAAGTCTAATTGTTATATGTCATTGTTATCTGTCACTGTTATTGTTTTGTACGTGTCACTGTTTTTGTTATGTGTTATTGTGTCACAATAACACATAAAAACAACAGATATTATTAAATAATTGTGATTTGTTACTCTTAAATTATTAATATTTTCATATCTTACTGTAATTTTTACATTTTAATGTTATTTTCATGTTATTGTTATTTTCATGACGTGTTAATGTTTATTTCATGTGTTAATGTTTTTTTTTCCATGTGTTAATGTTATTTTCATGATTTACTGTTATTTTCATTTATTTCACACTGCTATTGTTATGTGTTACTGTTATTTTTATATCTTACTGTTATTTTAATGTGTTACTGGTATATATTCATATTTTAAGGTTATTTGTTGTTGTAGGGAGGAGGATCCAGAAGATTCTGTTCCACATGGTCACATAACATCATTGGTGAGGATGTTGTCATTTGTATATACACACTGTACAAGTGTACATCAAAACTTTGTTGGAAGAGAATCATGAATTTGTAGCTCAGATGAGCTGAAATCTGTACAATTTTTACAATTTCAACTTTTCCTTCAAAACCACTGGGCCAAATTTAAACTTGCCTTAAAGCATTGTTGGGTAAAGGGGATTCAAGTTTGTTCAGATGAAGGATCAACCTCTTTGTGTAGGTAGATTACCAGGAAAATTAAAAATATGGTTGGGTTATTTAAAGGCTTTCATTTCAAGAACATTGGGCCAGAAAAGATGAGACTAATGTGAAAGCTTCCTGACATAGTGTAGATTCAAGTTTGTTCAAATTATGGCCCCAGGATAGGGATAGGGTTGGGCCACAGTAGGGGATCCAAGTTTTACATGGGAATTTATATGAAACAAGATGTGTTTCTGAAACACTCATGCCCCTGCATGGCAACTTATAGCGAAGGTTAAACTTTCTCAAATGCAAATCAAATATGTTGATACCCAAAGTAAGGTCTTGTCCCAAGGAATATATCTGTGAAATATGAAAGTCCTAGCAGTAACCATTGAAAAGATATGGAAAAGGTTAAAGTTTTTTCAAAAGTAAGTCAAACATCAAGGTCAAGGTCAAATGGTCAAAATTAATGGTGCCCAAGGAAAGGCCTTCTCACAAGAAATATACATGTGAAAAATGAAAGCCCTAGCACCAACCGTTCAAAAGATATGGCCAAGGTTAAAGTTTTCAATTTTAGGTCAAACCCCAAGGTCAAGGTCAAAGGGTAAAAGTTGTTGATATCTAAAGTAAGGTCTTGTCACAAGGATTACATATGTGAAGTATGAAAGCCCTAGTACCAAATGTTCAAAAGTATTGGCCAAGGTTAAAGTTTTCCAAAATAGCTCAAACCCCAAGGCCAAGGTCAATGGGCTGTAATTGTTGGTATCTAAAGGAAGGCCTTGTCACAAAGATTACACATGTGAAGAATGAAAGCCCTAGCACCAACTGTTCAAAAGTTATGGCCAAGGTTAAAGTTTTCCAAAAGTAGGTCAAACTCCAAGGTCAAGGTTAAATGGCCAAATATGATGGTACTCAAAAGAAGGTCTTGTCACAAGGATTACACATGTGAAGTATGAAAGCCCTAGCTCCAACCGTTCAGAAGTTATGGCCAAGGTTAAAGTTGCAAAAGTAGGTCAAACTCCTAGGCAGGGTTGGCAAAATACCGGGAAATACTCATATTTCCCAGGACAGTGGGAAATACTGGTAATTGCCGGGAATTACTGGTATTTCCCGGGAAATACTGGGAAATAAGAAATAGCTACATATTTCATAATTTTAATCATATTTGTCAAGGTATAGACATGTAGTGCACATTACTGGCTAAAATGTCTACCTTGTATCATTGTCCTGTTTTAAAAATTTCTGGTTTTCCAAGTTATTCATTTTATATAATCATAAAACATTATATTCATATAGGACCTTCATATACCAGTCTTGAGTTCCATTTGTTTCATGCTTGAATCAGATGTAGTCTATGAAGGTTTTTGAAATGAACCCAAAGATCCCAATTGGTTTTTTATTTAACTAAAGAGGGATCAAAGAAAATTATTAAATATAGGGCGTGATGTAAATATCAAACCTAAGTAGAGGCCTGACAGTCCTACTCAATGTAATTATCTGTCAAAACAGGAACACAAAACTGTTCAGAGCAATTTGTTAAAACAATATGATTGATTGTAATAACTACAGTGTTTATATAAGAATTAAAACAAGTTTGTTTTGTTCTTGGATTTATAATTAATAAACTAATTTTACAAAACTGAAAAGAAAATTGAATTGGAAAACTTCAGATTTGTTTTTTAATATACAGCCAGGGAAATGTGTACTGCTTTAGAATGCTTATGAGTAGCAGACCTAGAGTAGTGATACATTCTGAATATTAAATTGCATTTTGACACATATTCAGTATAAGTCATCTTTTGTTTTTATGTTTATTTTATTTCTGAATTTTGTATAGGATTGAATGAAATCAATGAATGAAAGACACAAAGTACTCTAACTTTGTATTTCCCAGTATTTCCCAGTTTAGGGAAAATTGTAGTATTTCCTGGGACGGGAAATACCGGTATTTACCACTGGTAATTCCCACCACTGGTATTTCCCGGCCAACCCTGCTCCTAGGTCAAAGTTGTTGGTCTCAAAAGAAAGGTCTTGTCACAAGGATTACACATGTGAAGTATGAAAGCACTAGCACTAACTGTTCAAAAGTTATGGCCAACGTTAATGTTGGGTAAAATTTTGTAAAACTGGGTCAAACTCCAAGGTCAAGGTCAAAAGGTCAAATATGATGGTACTCAAAGATAGGTCTTGTCACAAGGAATACACATATGAAGTATGAAAGCCATAGCTCCAACCAATCAAAAGTTATGAGCAATGTTAAAGTTTTTGTTGACAAACAGACAGACAGACAGACAGGGCAAAAAACTATATACATGTACCCCAGAATCTTTTGATACGGGAGCATAAAAATGTTTTCAATTCTTCATCTGAAGAATAGCAGGGCCATGATAAGTGGTATTTATATACAAATATCCTACATTGTAGATAGTGTTCAAATAATGACCTTGGGGTTAGTCTTCTGAGGAACAGAAGAAAAATCCTGCCGCCCCCCCCCTTACTGGGGGGATTGTGACCCCCTCCCCCCCTTACCAGGGGCTTTGTGAAAATTTTGCATAGGAATTAATGAATACAAAACATTTATTTTTTGCTTTTTTCAATAATTACTATATTATAATTACTCATATTAAAAAGTTAACATCATCAGGTAATCTAGATTCAAGTTTTTTTCAGATCATGCCCCCAGATGGTAGGGTGGGACCTCAATGTGGGTAAAAAAAAATATAGGTATAGAATATCATGAATATAAGAAAAAATCTTCTAAAATCTTACTCGGGTCAGTATTGTGGTCATGGGCCTTTTGTTCATTGTTTGAATATGTTATTAACTGATGCAATGTGTTCTGATAATTTTCTTTAAAATATTCTCAATATACAAGCCATGAAAACTCAAAATTTTGTAAGATTTATAAAGCTTTTTCTGCACAAACTATTCAAGGTAAACTACTGAAGATAAGAAAAAGAATAATAGAGTTTCCAATTGTGTTTTATTTAGGCAGTCAAGCGGTCACATCGGCGGCTCGGTCTAGCACAGAAGTTGATGGATCAAGCCTCTCGGGGGATGATTGAGTGCTTCGATGCTCAATATGTGTCGCTTCATGTCAGAAAGAGCAACCGTGCAGCTCTACATCTCTATAAAAACACACTGAAGTTCTCGTAAGTTTTAGTTGTACTACCCATTAATTTACCATGATCCAAGTTCTTTAACACATTAATTGAAAACCCTTATCAGAAAATAAAATGTAAAGAATGGCTCCTCAGCTGAATTTTAAACACAATCAGAATTTAGATACAGTTTTCTTTTATGGGAAGCTGAATCATTTGAGAAATAATGACTCAATCTTTGTAGCTTTATTATCATACATGTATAGATATCTAAGAATTTCCTCCAAGATGAACAGATAGAATCTAGTCTTATTAAATTACAGTTATAATTCCCATATACACGTTTGATACCACATCTTTAGTGGGTGTGCACTGTGCAGTAAGATACCTATAAGTGAATTAATTTGTTTTTTAATTAATGATAACAACATTTTTTTTTCATGATTTCATGGTAGAAGAAAAAGCTATTGTGTTTTAGAGAATTTTAACATCCCATGGGCATATGAATTCATGGTTCTCTTCATACCACGAAATCAATGAAAAATCCTTACAGAAATTGGTGATTTCACTGTAGATACAGCAGTGTATATAGGACACATTCAATGGCCAAATTCTGTTTTCCAATTATTGTCTTCTTGAAATTTTAGTCTAAAAATGAAGATGAAGTTGAGCATATACATGTACTTTATCATGATATTTCAGAGTTAGTGAAATAGAACCAAAGTATTATGCAGATGGTGAAGACGCATATGCAATGAGGAGGAATCTTTCAGAATTTCGAGAAAAAGTGAGTTCCATTCTCTATTCAGATTTATTTATAGACTGGAAACTAGGACAAGTCTTATGACAAAATTTGAAGTTTACAATTATTTGGATTCAAATTTACATATGAGAGAAGCCTGATATGTACATGTACTTGTAACCATACATAAACAATGTACCATGTAAGATTTATCACTCATTAGGCCAAAAAGAATTAATCAATAGTTTCTCAGGCACCGCCGCATCAGGTCAAACACTGCCGCATTGATACATGTACTTGTAACCATACATAAACAATGTACCATGTAAGATTTATCACTCATTAGGCCAAAAAGAATTAATCAATAGCTTCTCAGGCACCGCCGCATCAGGTCAAACACTGCCGCATTGATCAATTTTATTGACATATTGAAAAGGGAAATAGCTCAATTTTCTATTTTTCCAAGTTGAAAAAGATTATTGAGTTATTCCCCTTTTCATAAATGCTAATACACCCAAACTCAATAAATTGGTGCAATTCAAGATATTTTTTCTTCAAAAATCGACTTTTGATTATCCATCTGCTAATAACATTTTCGGATAGATCAACATATCAAGTTTGTATTCCCAAAGATTTTTCAAGTTAAGTTCATTGGTTAAGAAATTACGTCAATTTGAAATAAAGGTGTATTGTTGATCATTATTTGCTGAGAAACAAGCGTTACGTATCATATTATAGTTTTCCTTTAAGATTTTAGGATGAAATAATATAGATTGTAATAAATCCTCAATGTCAAAAGCAAATCAGTCTATTTACTATCGTGATAAGACAAAAAAGATCAACTGTCATAATGTATTTTATGAATTGATGCAGTCAAATTGTCGTACTATATTTTTTTCTTCAAATGAATTAGACATATCTCTAAAATTTTATATTTCAAATATGCCTCAAGAAAAATCAAAACTGCCCAGCGCAAATGGGGGTTCTAAATGAATAGAGGATCCATTTATAGAAACGTTAAATAAAATGTTGTTCATGAATTGTGATCTTGTTCTTATTTACACTTTCAAATGCAACAACGTTCGTATGTAACGAATGTTTCATGAGAAATAATATTTACTGATTTAAGATTAATTCCAACAAAATGGACCAATTCATGAGATGTAATTTCTGTTCTACTTGTGCCATGGTATTGAAAATGTCAAAAGAAATCATAATTTGAACTGCATCATATATATCGTGTCATATTTTCCTTGAACTGTTCTATATGTACAAACGGATAAGAGATATATGTAAAATTGTCTGTATAGACGTTTTAACAGAACCTAAAATAATGTAAATAACAATTTTTCTGATGTGACTTTTAGCTTGAAATCATTTAACCATCAATGGAAACTTCCTTCGTATTTCTGCTTGGGTCAATGCCATAGTTCAACTAAAATAAAATGCTGAAACGTACATTACTTAACATAAAATGCGAGTTTAACAGTATCAAAATTATAAGAGAGAAACAAAAAACCCTGATGTAGATTCAGAATAGAAACTCAAGCCTTTGTTTAATCAATATCATATGATTCAATCTAAAAATGTCTTTCAAAATAATTTCAATTAATGTTTTTCTTCAGAATTAATGTGTGTGTTCAATAATGCGTCTCTAGAATCAGTTAATATTAAAATTTATGCAAATTAAGCTTAAAATGATACAAATCAATCAATAAAGTTTACATTCGAACAATTAGTCATGAAAGAAATTCTGTAAATATTGTTGCAATTTTGATATATGATTTGTTAAAAATTTCGTAACATTCGTTACCTTGGTAACGAATGTTTCAACACCTTTCAAGACTAATAGTGGACATTCAGGTGTAGATTGATACTGGTTGCGTAGTTGTTGTCGGTCGTTATATAAATATTAACAGTTACATACTAATTCATTCCATTTGATTCATTGTTATTGCATTCTAGAAAACAAACTCACCAACACTGTCTAGACTTTAGAAAAAAAATCATAAAAAGGCAGTACCGTACTCCGGATGTCAAAATTTGAATACTTGCGCAAAATATTTGACTATGTTTATGTGCAGAAGATGTTTGAACTCATAAATCATTCTTTTTTAAGAGGTTTGGTAACGAATGTTTCGGTAACGGTTGTTTCATTTAATCATTTTCTCTTAAATAGTAAGCTAACAATAAGACATTGTTAAATCATGGTTGGAGCATGGAATACAGTTGTTGGATAGAGGAAAAAGTATCACATGTTTAACTATGATATCATTCTATTTCATCTATTAAACTAATACAACGAATGTTTCATGCCTATCCATACGCATGTAAAATAGGAAGATAGAATGTAATTTCAAAGTATTGGTAACATATACAAGGCTTTGTACCATTTATTTTTAATTTTCAAGAAGTTTCCTTCAAAATAAAACGTATTCCAATCTTACAGGCATACAATACCGAATACTCATACTATATTTAATGTCACAGTCCGTTTTTATTTTGTTTCTGGCGACATGGGGATATCAAATCAAAGTTTGGTAATTAATATATTTGTGATTATGCTCAATAATTTATTAAAAGCATTTTACAAATAAATGTTTTGAAGACATATGCTATCTAATTTAAGATTCAACTGTTATTTGTACAAAAAATAGCCATTTAAGTGTAATTATTCAATGTTGGCGACAGTAACGTACGTTTCAAAAAATCACAACATGCCAAATAAAATATCTCAATATGATTTGTTCACTTCATTTTTGTTTTTTTGCCTTAAAGGTTACATATTTATGCATTCATTCAAAAAGTATTTTCTTTGACATTTCATTATTTTTTTACGCTTAACCCCCAGCGACATTATTTGCACCATTTTATTGAGCTTGAGTGAATAGATAGACGTTTTTATTAGATAAACAATACATTTCTTGTTAATACGGTATTTTATGAATTAACTTTGTTTGGAATAACATTATTTAAAGTTGAATACATATTATAATTGATGTAAGAGAACAAAAAAAGTAAAACTCAGTTTATATCATCATTTTGTTGAACAATTAACTTAAAAAAAAAGGGGTATAACACCTGCTTCTAAAAAAAAAAAAAAAAAAAAAGAACCTGCCTGCCACATTAAATTTTGAAATTTTTTGGCCTGAGAAACTATTAATCAATTTTTTGTGGCCTTATGCATTCAATAGACTGATAAAGGGAAGCATCATGATTTGTGAGTCTACTCTTAAGTCAAAGGAAACAATTGTAAATTGAAATGTGATTGAGAGCTGGAAGTTTAGTAAATATGGAAATGTGGTCAAGTACAATGAAGTACAAATCTAATTAATGTAAAAAAATTGATTTTATATACAAGGGATGGCTTCACTTTCCTTTTCTCCTTACTTTTTCAGTATGGTCTAAAAGCTCAAGCTGAGGCAGGGCCGTCATCATGACAGCAATGACATGGGAGGTGTCATTATTTTTAATTTTCCATTAGATACCAGAGAAAATGTGAAGCGTGATACAGTGTGAGAAAGGATCCAGCTCTAGATTTTCATATAATGTTGATAGAATATGAAATGCTGAACCTCACCTGGCATTGACTGTTGATTCTATTTAAGAATGTACTCTTAATATTTTTTTTTTCAATTTAATTTTGTTGTTGTCATCTTTATTTTCTTTAAAGCTTATGAAACATAATTGCATGTTAGCTATTTTAATATGCATTTAAAAATTATACTTGTAAATACATGTACATGTGTACATGAATAAATATGCTATAAAAATTATTTGAATTGTAATTTTGATCCAAATTGAATTGTGTTAAAGCAAAAGATGGATGACTTGATTATGACAAAATGTGCAAAGTGCACAAGAAAGTAGATGAATTTTTTTTCCACACTGTAACAAGAGAAGAGCTATATTCTGAAGCAAATAAAAATATGACTGTGGACACCCCCCCCCCCCCCCTTGTTGCTGACTAATCGTCATCTGTACATGATAGAGTTACCTCCAGTTAAACTGTGCCCATATAATTCTGATCGAAAAAAAAACTTGGAATGGCCTATAAATGTATAAGATGAAGATAATGTACAGCGATCAATCTCGCAAATTTAAACAAAACATATCGTGAACAGGGCAAAAACACAGACCCATGGAAACATCAGAGGTGGAATCAGGTGCCTAGAAGGAGTAAGCATCCCCTGTCTACCATTCACTCGATCCTGCTGTGAACCCTATGTATTGATCAGGTTGATGAAGTACTCTGTAGTCAAATCTAGTATAAAAGCTATGACCTAACAAATTGTATGAAACATTTCAAACAAATAGGTTGTATTTATGAACAAGGTCATTATAACAACCGTAGAATTAGCTAAAAGCTGATATTAAACAAGGTTGTTGAAATCCTTGTGACATCAACTTATTTGCCAGTCACTTGCCTTGGTTTAAAAATTGATTGTACTCAGGGCATGCTGTTGTGTATCCAATCAGTTAGGAGGGATAAACACCATATACAGATGATGCTGGAATATTAATAAATAAATAAGGGAGGTTCACAATGGAAAAGCTGAAGTCATCCCATTTGTAATCACAGGAGTTCGCATACCTATCAATTTTACTGAAATTTTTAGTAAATAAAAAAAATATATAATACCTATAATAATATTATAATAATAATAGAGGCTAATATTAGTTGACCGTTATTGTTTATAGTCAGTAAAACATCCATATATGAAATAGATGTGGCTTAGACGTTGTTATGTCTTTTATTTTAAGTTCACTGGGATATATCAAGTCGACATATAAATGAAAGTAACTATTGTTTATTGAAAAAAATATGTCAACATATCTAAATTTTTGAGTTGAATGCCACATGAAGAGTTATTTTCCTCTCCTGTACAAGTTTTTGAATAAATTCTGCTATGGGAATATAAAAGCAGGTCGGTTAATAAAGGAGTACAATTAGTGCCCTTTTGAATTCCAACATTCCCCCGCGCCTGATCTCCAAAGAATACATAGATAATTTGTACGTATACATGAGTTACTGTGGACAGCATCTTTTTAATAATATCAACTTCAAGTACTTGTATGTAGAATTAAAATGATTTTTAACAAAGTAATCTTCAGTGAAAAAAGTTTGACAAGAAAAAAACAAAACAAAAAAACACAAGATGTGTTTGTGAACAGTATGGCAACTTACAGCAAAGGTTAAACTTTCTCAAATGCAAATATGTTGGTACCCAAAGTAAGGTCTTGTCTCGAGGAATATACCTGTGAAATATGAAAGCCCTAGCAGCAACCATTGAATGGATATGGTAAAGGTCAAAGTTTTTTCAAAAGTATGTCAGAAGTCAAGGTCAAATGTCAAAATTAATGGTGCCCAAGGAAAGGCCTTCTCCCAAGAAATACAAAGGTGAAATATGAAAGCTGAAGCACCATTCGTTCAGAAGTTATTACCAAAGTTAAAGTTTTCCAAAGGTAGGTCAAACGCCAAGGTCAAAGGGTCAAAGTTGTTGGTATCATAAGAAAGGTCTTGTCACTAGGATTACATATGTGAAGTATGAAAGCTCTAGCACCAACCATTCAAAAGTTGTCGACAAGGTTATTGTTTTCCAAAAGTAGGTCAAACTCCAAGGTCAAAGGGTCAAAGTTGTTTATATCCAAAGGAAGGTTTTGTCACAAAGATTACATAGGTGAAGTCTGAAAGCCCTAGCACCAACCGTTCAAAAGTTATTTCCAAGGATAAAGTTTTCCAAAAGTAGGTCAAACTCTATGGTCAAGGTCAAAGGATCAAAGTTGTTTGTATCCAAAGGAAGGTCTTGTCTCAAGGATTACATATGTGAAGTTTGAAAGCCCTAGAACCAACCGTTCAAAAGTTATGGCCAAGGTAAAGTTTTTTAAAAGTAGGTCAAACTCCTAGGTCAAGATCAAAGGGTAAAAGTTGTTGGTATCCAAACGAAGGTCTTGTCACAAGGATTACACATGTGGAGTATGAAAGACCTAGCACCAATTATTCAAAAGTTATGGTCAAGGTTAAACATGTTTAAGTTTGATAAAATTTTGCAAAACTGGGTCAAACTCCAAGGTGGAGGTCAAAAAGTCAAATATGGTGGTACCCAAAGAAAGGTATCGTCACAAGGAATGCATATGTGAAATATGAAAGTCACAGCTCCAACCAATCAAAAGTTATGGGCAAGGTTAAAGTTTTTGCGGACAAACAAACAGACAGACAGACGGACGGACAGGGCAAAAACTATATACCCCCGAATCTTTGATACGAGGGCATAAAAAGAGGAAAACACCTAAACTCCAATGTTTGTGGGGGTGTGTGTGTGTGGGGTGGGGTGTCTAGGACAGATTATTTTTTCAATTTTTTTGAGGACAGATTATTTATTTCAAAAACTGCCTCTAGACTGCCCCCTCCCCCTTTAGAATCAAATGGTTGTTCCTTTGCATTGAAAATTGAAAAAAAAAAAAAAAAAAGAATTTACTGGACCCTGCAATATGTCTTTGTTTTTTATGTTTGTTTAGGCAATTTTTCGAAGATGGATTGGATGGGATGAAAAATATGTCATTAGAATACAATTTATGAGAACAAATTGAAAAAGGTTCGGGGAGGGGGGGAGGGGGGGTCCTGTCCTCAATATGCTCAAGCACCTGAGTTAAAGACGAAAGTTTGTGCGATTACTTATTTTCTAGATTTTGATATGAACCTGCATAAACCTGAATTTTCACATTAATCTTTTTGTTATTGTAAAAAAGTAATATTGGTTAAGACGTTTGCCTTCAGTTTCCCTCTCAAAAATCCGTATTTTGTCATCTTGTACATGTCCGGTTTTAATATTAGAGACTGGTTCGCTGTTTCCTTTTTGAGTTTGATGGCGTACAGTGTGTCCATTTCTAGAAAAGTAGCATGTAAAACTTTTAAAAGACATTTTCACGGCATTTAATAAAGAGAATGACTGACACAGAGGCCAAGGTTCATTTTCGAGTCATCCGATTCATTCACGAAGCTGGTAAGAATGTAATGTTTAACCTATATACACCGAGGAAAACTTCAGAACAAAGCTTTAAGATTTAATCATCTGTCTAGATCTACTTATGCATAAAATCATTTAAATATTTTTTTCATTTCCTATGAAAGTTAAGCCTGTAAAAAGTACTTTATTTAGCCAAAAACCCTACTGTTGCCTCGCATTGATAATTTTAGGTTGAACATTTTTTGCATGGTTTTATTGAGAAGTCTAGACTAGAAGTTGTTGTGCATATGACATCAGAGTACCACATGCCTATCAAACATTAACTCAAAAGTTGTCAATCACTAGCCAAAATTGGACATGATTAAATGTCTATAACTCTTAAATTATGCAGAATCAATGCAATTTGTGGATGCTTCCATTAAGTCAGTATATAGTCATTCATATATCATTTTTTAAAATTATGATAATCTCTAAGACTTAATCATCACAATGTTGAGGGAGGGTTCGAGTCTTATTCAATTTCATTTAAATGGCAGTAGCACCATTGAAAAATAAGTGGAAATGGATTGCTATTCACAATAAATCAGATGAAGTTTGCTTTCTCCTATGAACAACTGCCATCATGCTTTTTCAAAGGAAAACACTGAATTGTTTTTACCATACATGTACATAAAAATTGTGCTGTTTGGAAATTTCAATCATTTTTAGCATGAATAGAAACCTGATCCATTTATCTTTTTAACTCCCTGAAAGAGAAGATGTAGATGAAGCTATATTTTCAACAACGATAATAAGAAGTATTTTGGATGGCTTGCATATATATATATATATATATAGTTTTATGCAACTCAACAACAGATAAGACCTCATATACGATTTGCATTTGTTAATAATACATACTCTTAACATGAATCTCAGAGCCTTATTTTGTGACAAAAATAATACTGTTATTAATGTGTGAAATCTTCTCGTTTGTATTTTAGGATTACGGCTTCAAATGACCTCTGTTCCATTAGCTACAGCCTCTGTCATCTACCACAAGTTCTTCAGGGAGAATTCCCTCCAGCAGTATGACCCATATGTAAGTCACTAAGAATAGGTAGACAATTTTTTTTTACCTATCTCCATCAGTATAACCTTTCTGCATGTAAAGTCAACATTATTCAATTAAGAATCTTTTTCTTAATGTAAATGTGAGATAGAAGACTAAAATTTTACAATTGTAAATTAAGGATGTTCATGATAAGAAAAGATTAGCTAACTAGTTTTAATGATTAAGTTATGCAGAACTTTGAGGAATCATACCCCACTGAAATGCCCCCCTTAACCTTGTTTATTGATACATATACATGTGTTACCTAATGACCAAGGACTTGAAAGAAAATTTTTGTCAATTATAGAATATTTGCTGACTACTTGGTAGGTACAGACAGACTAACACAGATAATTTTTCCGGTGTTAATTTAATGTTAATATTACATTGCAGCTGATTGCGACCACAGCGTTATATTTGGCCGGGAAGGCAGAGGAACAACACATCAAAATAAGGGACATTGTCAATGTCTGTTACAGGTAATCTAAAAATTTAACAAAATTAAATATTAAATAAAATTTTAAATAACAAGGCTTTTTGGAGTTGTGATTGACAACATATACTGACATTTTAAAATTTTGACATGCCTGTGAGCAGCCCAGGTACCCATCAAATTTTAAAGAGACCAGTTGATAAGATTAAGATTTATTTCTTGGAAAGTTACAACATTATTTTGTACATTTGTATTCATACTAAAGTTTTGTGAACTTGCATTCCTTTTTAGCAGACATGAAAATATACCTTTGAAAATTGTAGTTCAGACTATATATAGTTAATAACCCCCTCCTTCCAAAAAAAAAAAAATCACCCTCTATCACCTTGTCAAAATCCAGTTAAACATTATATACATGTACTAGGATTACTAGATCTGTAATATGATTCATTCAAGTTAGCAAGATTGCAATTGGAACTTGTAAAGAAAGCAAATTTCATGTACAATGTTTGTTGAAACTAGACTACAAGTGACATATTGTCAAATTCTTTATCTGATAGTCTAGATCATAAGAGGACACTACTGTTTAATTCTTCGTATTATGTTCTAGGGCATTGCATCGCAGTAAGCCCCCGCTGGAGATGGGGGAAGCCTTCTGGTCTCTGAGAGACACAGTGGCCAACTGTGAGATGTTTGTTCTCAGAATGCTGCAGTTTAAGATCTCTTATCAGCACCCACACAAGGTATTTAAAACCATCCATGCAGGATCTAAAACATTTAAGGTTGTATTCAGACTTAGATACCAAAGCCAAACGTGCAGACCAAAAAAATTTGTGAATGTTGAGCAGAAGATAGACAAAAAGAAAGTGGATGGTCATTGGTGAGTGAAGATCTATGGGGAGTGATAACAGAGAGCAAAGAGAGACAGAGCAGAACTAAAGTGGAAAATGAATGTAAAGCAAATTGACAGAAAATGTGGAGTGAATGTAGAAATGGGTAGTGAAACATTTTTCGGGACTGAATGATACCCGTAATATGCTATACTGTAGATTCCTAAATATATGTGAGGAATTAATTACTGCCTAATTGTGCAAGAAGCACCACTCTCAGAATAAATTTACTTGGGCCATTCTTAAAAAAATTGTTTGTTTGGAATTGCCACCAGGAATGTTTCAGACCCAGGAGGGAGGGAGGGAAATTATTTTTTTTTCAAAATTAAAGTTAAATTAAAAATTGATGATAAAAGTCTCAATAAGGAATGAACACATTATTTTCTGCCTTTTTGTAAAGGGTATCTCCCATCAACCAGGAACCCAGTTTTGCTTAGATCCTACACTTATTAAGTGATTGGGTGACACATGTGGTAGCAGGCCAAGAATTGATTGAATAAAAAAAAATCTTCTTATTTTTGGTCAATAAAATTTTTCAAGGAGGGGTCATTTCAATGAGGCGGGAGGCAATTCCAAACAAACAATAATTTTATTTTGGCCTAGCTCCCTTTTATTTTTTTTTTTTTTTGGTGCAAAATCCATGTTAAGTTTCTTGATCAACCATCTGCTCGCAAGTTATTGTTCTCACAATATATTGTCTGAGAACAGTTTCGCAATATTAAGTAGTCACGTAAAATAAGGAATCTACAGTATTCCTTACTTTTAGTGAGTAATTAATAATGTTATGAAACGACTCCTAGTAGATGTCAAATGGTAAGAACACAACTGGACTTTTGGTTTTAGAGTTTTTATATGCATTTCATGATAATAAATTCCTCGTGTAAATTTAGGAATCTAGAGTTGTGGAATTTGAAAAAAAATACAGTTTATACTATATAATGATCTTACTTCATTGGAGAACTGACAGCCCTCCAACAGTTTAGTAGTTGTCCACCTGTTACTTTCTTTTTTAATAGTACAAATTTTTTTTTTTTTTTTCTTGGATAATGATGAATTGTTAATCAAAGTTTTGTCAGCACCACATTAACATACATATTGACTTGTATTTTAGTACCTTCTTCATTATCTCAAGTTCCTGAAGGATTGGTTTGAACCATATAAGTGGGAGACAACTCCTATAGCTCGAACTGCATGGACATTTCTGAAGGACAGTTACCATGGTAATTTGTGTCTACGTCACAAGCCCCAACACATTGCAGTGGGGTTAATCTACATGGCCCTGCAATGTCACGGTGTTGAGGTGCCACTACAGAGCAATGTGGCTGTGCCATGGTGGAAGGTAAAGTCACTTTATATCTTTGTTTTCAGAAATGCATGGAGAGGATTAAGCAACTATATGTTTGTAGCATTAGCTATTTTAGAAATTAAATACATTTTAAGAATATTTAATTTGTACGAGAATGGTGTTGAAGATATAGTTTAGTCTTGATTTATTCAAGAAGCTAAAGATGCAAGTTTGTTTTATTTTTTCAGTTCAAAATAGAGAACTGCAAAAAATTAAAAGGTTTAAACGTAATAAGCAAAAGAAAGGTGAACCTGAACCAGTGACATATATTTTATACATACATAAAATTACAATAATATTAATTATTAATCTTTGTAGACAAATTCACTTATTTGACACAAGGTTAAGTATTTTTAGCTCACCTCAACAAAGTTGGGGGAGCTTATGTAATACCCTCTGCATCGGTGTCGGCATCCCAGGTTAAAGTTTTTGGAGCAGTTTTCTTTTCAAGTACTTCTTTCTTTGCTCTATATTAATCAGAGATGCATGGAGGATGCTTCTAGTGTGTTTCATTGTACCAGTCAAGGTTTCAGATGCTGCAATTTCAGCTAAAGAATGACCAGGTTAATGCTTTTGGAGCAGGTTAACGTTTTTGGAGCAGGTTAAAGTCTCATTTCCAAGTAACTATAGGCCCTATATTGACCAAACTTGCATGGTTGATACATCTAAGGATGCACACTACTGAATTTGCCTCGCATCTGACCTACATTTTCCAGATGAGTGATCAGGTTAAAGTTTTTGGAGAAGATCTCATTTCCAAGTAACTATAAGCCCTATATTGATCAAACGTGCATGGATGATACATCTAAGGATGCACACTACTGGAATTGCTTCGGATGCTGGATCTGACCTACATTTTCCAGATGAGTGACCAGGTTAATGTTTTTGGAGCAGATCTCATTTCCAAGTAATTACATGTATAAGACCTACCTGAACCAAACTTGCATGGATGATGCATCAAGGGACGAACACTCTCAAACTTGTTTCAGATGCTGGATTTGACTTACATTTTCTGGATGAGTGACTAGTTTCAAGTTTTTAGATAACTCCATTCCTAAGTAACTGCAAGCCCTATCAGACCAAAATTGCATGAATGTTGCATCTACGGATGCACTCTACTAGATTATTAGTTTAGTGTGGGACTTTGCCTTACTTATAGACAACATTTGTTGAGGTGAGCTCTGTAATCTCTGATTACCTATGTTTTATATTTCAAATTGATTTTTTTTGCAATGTGTGATTTTGGTATAGGGTAAGAATATGACTAGGGGATATGTACAAATGTACATGTGCTTTACAACTTTCAATTAAAATTCACATAAATTGTCATTGCTTAGGTTTATTCTTTTTATCCCAGTGATACCACTACAGCAATAACATGAAAATATAAAAATGTTGTCATTACAATAACAACACTTGACATCTAGTTTGCCAACATTTGTTTGAGAAACATAAGAAAGTTTATCAGTGTTTTCATATGTTTTATCGCATAATGGCTTTCACAAGTTTCCAAACAGTGAAGCGCCCATCACTTCCCATGAATTTGTGAACTCCTGAGACCAGATTTTTACTCATAATCCATTTCCTCTCAGACCATCTGTGTTTTTTTGAATGACCCTCATATGTAAGAAATAAACAAAAAAGTTGTTTTGCCTCAGATTATGAAGTGATTGTATTTGTTGTTTGCTTTGTCCATGAACCTGTTGAAAGTCTGTATCTGCATTTATTACTTTGATTGACCCTAAGAGGATGAATGACTTGGCTATCTAATTTTCTGAAGCACTTGGATAAACATTTGTGATAAAGACAAGGTAAAGAAGTCAGGCTCTGGGATTAAGGAGGGTCACTGAAATGTACTAGTTATTGACCATGCAAAGGGATAACAAACCTACAATGTTCTCTCATCTTTTGAGGTTTGGTGTTTTTGAGTCCTAACTGAATTAGGAATTTTTAATGCACTTCCCAAATGCATTTGAGTGATTTAGAATCAGCCAAGAGACAATAAGTTAACAAGTGGAGAAGGAGATCGAAAGTAAAATATTTGTATTCCATTTAGTGTTGTCAATGAGTTAAGGAATCACTGTCTAGTTAGTAGAGTGTGCCAGGGCATCAACGATAGCTGGAAACGTGGGATAATTTGCATAACGGGCGAAGCCCGTTATGCATAAATTATCCCACGTTTCCAACTATCGTTGATGTCCCTGGCATACTCCACTACATGTAACTAGACAGTGATTCTTTATATTTCCATTTCATTGTGAAATAAAATTGTAAATTTAGATTTTAAAAATGTAGACTAATAGATTTAAATTACACGAGGCCTCACCTGTCAATTTCAGTAGTCCCCGCCCACTGACGTCAAACACAAAGACAGCCGCACGAGAATTACATGCATATTATGCCTCCTTAGAGTCGGACACAAAGACAGCCGCACGAGAATTACATGTATATTAGGCCTTCTTAGCTTCTGACCTTTCGCTTGGCGAAATTTGCATTCCGGTAGAATGATCAAGAAATCAACGCAACTAACTTTCAAAGAGTTGTCACAGAGAAAACAAATAGGAATGGAAATATTGTTAAATAAATGTGGAATAGAATTAACAAATATCCAAAACAATTAACCATCATACAGTGTATTTTGTTTGAGATAAAAATTGCCCTTTTTGAGTGAGATGCAAGAAAAAAAATTATTCAGAAGAAATTGCAAATAAAGTGCATATGCAGTGCATTAATATTTGTTTATACCAGTATTTAAAAGATAAGACAAATACCCGTATAGAAATCTTGAAGAATTAACATATTTTACAGTATCTGTTCAGTTTTTACCTTGAGCAAAGATAATGAGGCAAAATGATTTAATAAATCACCAGAGAAACTAAGTACTTGATCAGAAAAGTACACTGTAAAAATTGTGCTTAGGAAATAAACACTTCCATTACGTGTTTAGATCTAAACATGTTTGATTTTGTGTTTAACAACTAAACACTTGAGTCTTAATGTATTTAAAATCTATACGCGTTTAGATATTGAACATGTTTTTTGTTTTAAATTCGATCAAGTGCAGAGTTATCTTCCCGGAAATGATATATATTTGAACGTTTATAAGCGCGGTTGTCGAAACAAAGAAAGTCACAACAAAACAGTTTACGATATTTTCAAGGAAACTGGTGAGAATTTGAGTGACAGTGATCGCAGAAATAGTGAAATACACATGAAAGGATTCTTGTTACTTCTATAGAGGGTATGTATGCTTTTGTTTAAATAAAATTTACATGAAGAGCAAGGTAAACAACATTGCTTTTTATATCCAGGATGTCTTTGGATGCCATATCATGTTTTCACTAATGAGAGTAAATATTGAATCTAAAGATGCATAAATATCGATTAAAACATTTTTATTATATGCTCAATAGTTAATGTAAAACTTTAGCATGTTTAGTAATGAGCACATACTGCTACTTAAATGCAACGTATGTTCTTTCTTACAGGTTCAGTTTATTGGATAGCCGAGAGAAGGAACTTCATAATGGATGTGGAAGATGGATTATACATACTGCCATAGAAAATACTTTCAAGATTATCCAGATACTCTGCTGTTTTGTTTACATCACGGAGGATTTAAAATAGTGAACCGTATTCCATCACATTGTAAGAAGCACACCATACGTTTGTACCTGGAGTCTAAAGACTGTATTGTATATTGTAAATACAATATTAACTTTGTATTGTGCTACTGTCTTAAAATGCAGACAATTCAACAACTGGGTGTTTCTAAGTCTTTAGATGCAAAAAGGATGATATGTCAAAACTTCTGTAAGACTGTACAAAAAATGAAAAACATTCACAGGAGAAAAGAGTTCCGCCGAACGATGATTCCGTGAGAACACTTTACTGTGTGTTAGGTTTTTTTTTAGCATTTTAATATGATGTTTATAACTAAATAAAACTTATAATGGACACGCCTGTTATATTTTCAGTTTTCTTGCAGATCCTTGTTTAAAACATTGAAGTGTTTAGGTTCTAAACGCAAATCTAAACTGTTAAGAATTGTGTTTAAAATCTAAACATGTAAGCATTTAGGTTCAAAACACTTTCCATTACGCGTATTGAAATTAAACATGTTTAGAATTTAAACGCATTAAAAAAAGTGTGACAAGCTTGTGTTTAGAAATGTGTCTATCATCTAAACACATTTTTTACAGTGTAAATGTGTAACTATACTGAAAGGAAAAAGAAACGCAGGATAATATAATATGCGAAATATTTTTGACTGCGTGGCCAAAAATTATGAAAACTGGTCAGAGGTATATCTTGGTTACTGTACTAAAATCGGTGTTCAAAATTACTCAACCGTGAAATGTATGACGTCACGTAGGGAAAGTGGTAAAAAGCCAGAAACATGTGCATATTCATGATGACAAGTTTGTTAACACATTTTATAGCACCACTTGATGCACTGGAGGTATACACATGATTTTTCCATATTTACAGACAATATGATTTTCTTGCAATCATGTTATGGCTGATGAAAGTTCCATTCGGTCAAGTAATTGAATTGCTTAATTGAAAAAAAAGCAACAACATGTTGCTGTGCCGTTTGTTATTAGTTTTTTCCACAAAAGAACATTTTATTCGTTGTCAGAGAGGAACTGGAATGGTTTCCAACCAACCGTGACAATGACGTTGGCGTGTAACAAAGCCACTTCAAGATGGGGCTTTTCATCCTGCCACCCGTGTAATCGCTTCGGTATTACCACTGAAACCGAATAAATACAGTAGGTAATCATAGTCGTTTATATTCACCCTAAAACTGAAAGAAACCAACTGCTCTATTTTGGTCCGTGTGCTTGTCAACTTTACGTCGGTGTAACTCTCACTCACCTAATTTTTCAGCATGTTCACTCCAGGGAAAATGTAGCCAGTTTGTCAAAACTTTCTCGCAAACATTCGCATTTACCAAATCAAGTGGCCTCCATAAATTCTATTTCTTTCTCTAGACCGTCACGGTAGCTCAGTCGGTAGAGCACTTGCTCCGTGATTCGAAGATCGTGCCTTAAAATCACAGCCTCGACTGACCTAAGTCGATAAAAAAAATAGGTAGCAACTGTTCCTTTGCCAAGCGCTCGGCACTTTGAAGTGAAAGTTCTGGGTCCTTCGGATGAGACCTTAAAAACCGAGGCCCCGTGTCACGGTAGGCGTTGACACGATGGTCCTGAGTGCCGAGTAAAGGTCTAAATATGAAGCCCTTCACCGGTATATGATGACGTCTCTATAAAGTCTATATGAGTGAAAAATTCTCGAACGGGAAGTAAAACAACATTCATTCAATCAATATCATTCTCTAATCGAAAATCTGCGGGATATCTAAACGGTAGGTTTTGCATATAGGTCCCCCTCTACTCTCATCCAACTAAGGGTCTGTCTTGTCGGAAGGGTTAATTAATATCTCTATGAGAAAGATAAATGCACAGATGAACTCCAAGTAGAGGAGAATCAAAGCTGTGAGAGATGCCCAAGGAAAATAATGAAAATTTTCATTTTCACTTTCGGGGGTACCGTCATATGAATTTCAATAACTCATGAATTATCACTCAAAATCAATTGAGATTTTAGTAAATTGTTGATTAAAGATCGATTTAAATATTGGGTAACAATATTGAAAAATACTTGTGGGAAAAAAGCTTTAATTCACTTTAAAAGTTTACCCTGCGTTTCTTTTTCCTTTCAGTATAGTTAAAAACATTCATCTGATTTAACAACAATAATTCCATTGGATGGATTTAAAGGACATTATCTTGGACATTCATCTAGTCAAGAATTTCTTGAAACAAATCTGCTAATTTCTTGAGAATCGGTTATTCTAAACTTCTGCTTGACTACTTCTTGTCAAACTTTTTCAATGGTCGAAGTGATGTGGTGTTGAAAATGAATTTTTAAAGCATTATATAATTTATATTCATCCTTGTAAGAATGATCATTCTTAGAATGATATATACTGTCAGATCCTCTGATGAGTGATGAGTATAAAAAATAGCAAAGCCATTTAATAAGTTGTACAAATGAAAAGCTCCTAAACTAATCAGTATCAGATATATAGAGATTATAATTTGTTCAGGACATAATTTTTGTTGGCCAACTTTAGGAGATATACATGACTACTGGTTAGGGGTGTACAATATGTCTTCCCATTCCATTCAATTTCATGGAACCTCTTCTCTTTAATATAAAATTTTGCTGTAATTAAAGAAATCTTATTTATGATTAAAATGCACACAATTTCAGCATACCTTGTGGGGTAATTAAAATTTGACAGAAATGGCCATTGAATTCATTTATAAATCTCAGTGAGAGTTAAGGGTACATACCACACACAAAAATTGTATGCATGAATTGATATATATTTTTTGACTGATTATGAATGGAAATGACATAAATAATCAATCCCTAAAATATAAAGAAATCGTAAGATTCTTTGGTGAATAGATATTAAGCCACTTTGTATCGTTTTCTATGTAATTCTGTACAAAATTTTGCACATATTTTTAACATTGTGACAAAATCTTACAATATTCTCCCACTTTACCCAGAAAATATCATTCAGGTGACCTATTTGGATATCAATCGATGAGAAATATTGCTGATTTCTGAAAAAAGTTTGTTTGACATAATTGTGTTATTTATCCTTATCAAACAAGGAACCTTGCTCACTTTTTATTCGAATCTAATTTTAGGTGCTCACTGACGACATCACTGATGATATCATTAAAGACATCATAGAAGTTGTTATATGGACATATGACATAGAAACTATGGCAACGACATGAGGAACTTGTACAAGAGGGGAGAATGCATTGTGCGTGTGAAAGGGAAATCTGAAGATCATTTGTTATTGACCTGTCCAACTGTTCAACATGTTCATAATGTTTACCATGCAACATCATTGAACTGAACTAAAAGGAGTTCATCTTGGAAAGACATTTTAAAAATCTTTTTAGAATAAGTTTTTTCTGTAATATGGAAGTAAATGTGACAGTTTTGTTTATAGGTCTTATTTGTTTTCAAAAAAAAAAATGTTGACATAGAATGAAAATATTTTTAATATTTCTGAAATATATTTCAGTTGCTGCAGAGGAACTGACGCATTTCATATGTTTTTACTCCATTTAATTTAGATGTATATTTTGCATTGTTTCTAAATATAATACAAGTATTAGCTTTCCTAAAAAGCTTGTCTGACTTGAGTAAATTTATTTTTACGTGAAGAATCAAGAAAAGTTAAATCCAGTGTAATCAACATGACTCTGCATGAGTCATGAAATGAATTCTTTTGCTAAGAAACAAGAAAAGCTCAAATCAGTGGCATCAACTTAAAACTTGGACATGAATTTATTCTATATACACTATGTTACTTGAAATTTCTTTTTTTTTCATGGACGTAGGAATCGGGGACGTAAGGGGGGGGGGGGGGGGACCGTGCCCCACAATAATTTTGCCGATTTATACATAAATGTAGCTACTTTATGCTTGTGTCCCCTAAATCATGTAAATATTAACTTCTGCTAACTGTTTTATGCTCTATAAGGAATTTTTACTTGATAGTGTCTACCCTTAACTGAAAATTTCTTAAATTTCTTCCAACGGGCCTGTTCATGGATACAAAGATAACCAGTGCTTTTGAAAGAAAAGGTTACAACACTTAAAATCTGAACATCAATTGGTGAACAATTTTGATAATTAAGAATTTTTTTTTATAAAAAAGAAAAATAAACGTGTTACAAATGAGCTAACATCTTTACAAAAAAAATTGATGCCTGGATTGGTATGTATTTTGGGCCTATTTTTGTTGTAAATGATGAAAAAAAGTAATTAAAAAAATTCTAAAATCTTAAGAAATTGTAAACCTACTTTGATGTTCAAAATTCTACCTTTCTGCAACCATCCTTATTAATCTATACAAATCCTTATCTCTTCAAATTCCATTATTGTGGAACTTTGAATGAAAAATTAAAAACTATGCGGTTAAACTTGTTCATTTTACGCATCTAAACAGGACTCAACTTGTTATTTTCAAATTTTGGGATAAAGGTTTGTTTGTATCATCTGTCCTTAAGCAAAAGAATATTCAACATATTTCCTTCACTTTGATATTTTTTTAACTATGAATAAATTAAACGTCTGCAAGTTATGAATATGCGTAGATTTATAAAAATTCTAAAGGTAGAGAGACTTGGTATGAATTGAAAATAAACATCCATTAGTTAATCTAATAAAGATAATCAACAAGTGTTGACTTGACCAGCTTCATTCCTTCTGTTTTGCTGGAATGAATGATGCATTCGAGAATGGCCAAATGTTATGCAACCTCTAATGTATAATGTGATAATAATGACATCAGTGGCAATGCTCTGGATTGTTTGGGTGTTTAGCATGTTTGCTCTCCAATTGATAGTTAAGATAGTATGAAGTTTCCAAGATCAAGTTATCACAAGAATTCTATTGAACGACTTGACTAACAAGACTTGGCTAAATCTAGCACTGTCTGACGCCATGACGTCAGACAATTATCTTCTTGTGTTCAGAAACAATAAAAAGTTTTAAGAAAGAAAATTGCTGTTGTCCACTTTTATCATACATAAAAATTCAGATTACACATGGTAAATGTTTGTTATTGGTCCCCAGAGCCATGACTGAAGTAGAAAATATTTAGGTTGTAGATGAAAAACTCTAATCCATTCTCAGTTATTTTTTTTGGTAATTTTGATGAGCCAAGCAGTAACTTAAAACAGTCAGATTCCTAAAGTGGTTTGGTTGTTGGGCAAGATCTCCTCCAGGTATGATTGTTGAGCAACCTAGTACAAGACACACATAGAAAATGATGCAGGTGACTTAACTTTATATATTTGTATCCAGAATGCTCAAACACTTGTGTCTTGTTACAATTTATTTACTCTTTGTAAGCACAATAAAGTTTTAGCTCACCCGAGTCCAAGGCTTGAGTGAGATTTTCCGATTGAAGGGTGTGTGACGGTACATATTGTCGTTTTGTACATAATGTCGTCGGCGACAATATGTACCTACCCTCACTGCACGTATTGTCGTCCATCGGTACATATTGTCGTCGGCGACAATATGTACCAAGCCGAGCCTTATTTTCCTCCTGCATAATGGACGACGAAATGTACAGTCAAGCACCAGCACAAATTGTCGTCGGCGACAATATGTACAGTCAAGGTCGGCATATATTGTCGTCCATATATTGTTCTAACGAATATTTACTTGAACGGAAGGAGGCAGACAGCATTACTTGCATTAGTGTAGGGAAAAAACGTTTTGGTCAGAAAATTGTGTCCAGGATTGATGTACATCACTATGACATGTCAAGTTACCGTAATTCTTGAGATATCTGATAAATCAGCTTATTATATACTTGGAGATTGAATACATGTATTAGTTTTTTTGTTCAGTAGTAATGATTCTTTGAAAATTATTTTTTTGCGTTTTTGTGCGGCTACAATAGGTGATCAAAGTTTTTCATAGAATAATTAGAAAAAATTCTTTCAATTTTTTTTTTCAAGAAGTACTGGGTCAGAAGAGATGATACTTAAGTGAAAGCTTCGTTACATAGCGTACGTTCAATTTTGAGGTTCTGGCACGAAAAAGATCCCTCAATGCTCAATGACCCTGAGTGCTAAGTAAAGGTCTAAATTTGCAGCCCTCCACCGGCAAGTGGTGACGTCTACATGCGAATGAAAAATTCTCCAGATGGACATTATTACAACAAACAAACAAGCCAAAACGAAATCAATTTTGTTCAAATCATGACCCCAGGGGGTAGGGTGGGGCCACAATGGGTGATCAAAGTTTTACATAGGAATATATACAGAAAATCTTTAAAAATCTTCTAAAAAGAAAACCAGACAGATGTAGCACCGGCGTCCCCCCCCCCCCCCCCCGTGGTTTGTTTTTTTCTTCTCTACTTTGGTAATCTCTGTTTGTTTAACTTGTGTATACTCTCATTTTATTGCACAGGTAAACTTTCATATTAAATAATTTACTTAACATATATAGTAACACACCTTTACATACAAATGACTTTTTAAATTTTTTTGCTTGTCAAAAAAATTCCGACCCCCCCCCCCCCCCCATCCGTTCTGAAATTTCTGGATCCACCACTGAGATCAGCAGTAGGCCCGTGATTAGTGATGTCTATATGGAAGCATCCTCAGGTAGCGGAGATTCAAACCAGGCCTAGGGTGGGGTCACAATGGGCGATCAAAGTTGAACATAGGAATATATGGGAAAATCCTTCTCATATCTTCTCAAAAACAGCAAAGCAATGATTAGTCAATGAATATGTTTATGGATTGATTGATTTTTATTGTTTAAGGCCGAGTCGGCATTATTTCAGACATATTTCGGCGATCAAATTAAATGTATATGACCATTTTTGAAGTTTTTGGTTTCTCTGGCCATATTTATATGGAATGTTGCCGTGCATTGTCATGCGACATGTTCTGATGGACGGCAATATGCACAGTGAGGGTAGGTACGCAATGTCGCTGGCGACAATATGAACAGGACGACAAAATGTACCGTCACAACCAAGCTGCATGAAATAGCATACGAAACACGTCAGTGTGATTCACACACCAATTATATATTAGGAATGACTCTAATTCTTGGCCAAATTATTCGAGTATAACCTGGTTTGGGTCAGTTTACGCTTTATAATCCGCGAAGCGGATTATAAAACAGCGTAAACTGACCCAAACCAGGTTATACTCGAATAATTTGGCCAAGAATTAGAGTTATTCCTTATAATTTAATTTTAAAATCATTAAATAACTATGGGTGTAAAATTTCGTTACTTTTTATTAGTTCAAATTTGCCGCTCAATAATACACCCATAGTAACGGAAGTAACGGAAGTGATGGGAATCGAGGGGAGGTTAAAACTGATACATAGGCCTAGCAGCCATGTTGTTTGGTTACATGTGGTAAGATCGAATTATTGTTTGAAATTAAAGGTACATTTATTAAATCTGGAATTTTCCATGAATCCCGAGGACTGGAAACGAGAGGATTGTATGGATACAGATGATTCAGCTGGTTGTCAAGGGGGTGTGTCCCCATACCAAACAGGTTATACAGAAATAATTTGTGTTCCTTTTTGGATATTAACCAATCAGAGGCTAGAATACAAACAAAATTAAATTATATTCACAAAACTACCAAAAAACAACAAAAGAAATCTGTAAGCAACAATATCTGTGGGGTTACAATATGTACAGTGAGGGTGAGGCACATAATGTCGCCAGCGACAATTTGTACATCTGTAACTCTCAGCCGGCGACAATATGTACCGATGGACGACAATATGTGCAGTGATGGTAGGTACATATTGTCGCCGACGACAGTATGTACAAAACGACAAAATGTACCGTCACAGGGTGTTCAGTGTCCGTCTGTCTTTTGATGTGTGTTGTTTGTAAACTTTTCACATTTTAGACTTTTTCTCAAGAACTACTGGACCAATTTCAAGCAAACTTGCCTTACATCCTTGGGTGAAGGGGATTCAAATATGGTCAAATGAAAGGCCACACCCCTTTTTCAGGGAATTTCGTGAAAATTTAATGATGTTTTAAAAATCTTCATAAGAACCACTGGGCCAGAAAAGATGAAACTTATGTGAAAGCTTCATTTCATAAGGTAGATTCAAGTTCGTTCAAATAATACCCCCAGGGCTAGAGTGGGCTACAACAGGCATTCAAAATTTTAAATAGGAATATATAGGAAGAAACTTTCCAAGTCTTTTCAAGAACAGCAAAGCCATGATTATTAGTCATACATGTATTTATATCATGGAAGCATCCACAGGTAGTGTAGATTCAAGTTTGTTCAAATCCTGACCTCCAGGAAATCTGGGGAGGGTGGATTAGGTGATCAAAATCTTACATAGGAATACATGAGAATTTTTATAAACCTCAAGAACAGCAGAACCATGATTAATAAAATTTATATGGAAGCATCTCCACGTCATG